ACACCAAAAAGGATTTGGGTATATGGGTCTCCTCAAACTTGTCCTTCTCAGTGCACCATGAGAAAACGGCCCAAAAGGAATTCGCCATTTTACTGATGGTCCGGTGAACCTTCTCCCGTATTACTCGCATCGACTTCCAAATACTCTATGGGGCCTACATCGGACCGCTCCTGGAGTACGTCAACCAAGTTGTCTACTCAGAACGAACGAGAGATGTCTTTCGTGCGTGACGTACGTCACCCTCTTCGAGCGTGTCTAGCGAGCCGCTACGAGAATTGTTTCCAGCCTCAAGTCCGTGGACTACGAAACCCGTCTCCCGATGCCCGATCTCTTTCCCCTGGAGTGTCGTCGCCTCCGAGGGGACCTTATTATTACTTATACCCTGTTTGAACGAACCTTGGACGACATTTTTTCCACCGTTGACCCAGCAAACACGCGGCGGGGACATGATAAGAATATTTGCAAGCTCAAAGCGCACACATTGATTGAGCAAAATTTTTCTCATTTCGGGCAGTAGCTGCGTGGAATGACCTTCCTCTGACGGTTGTCCACGCTCCTTCTAGAATTCAGTTCAAAGCACTATCAAAAATTTATGCGAATCCTCGTGCTGGCAAGCATACTGCTCCGCGCTGAGAACATAGAAAACAGTGCTACACCTTTTTTCACCTGTGCCTTTCAGGTGAACGACAGCGGCTGAACGACAAGAAAAAAAACCAACCGGGGAGACTTGGGCAACATCCTCCATCCTGTGTATCAATCCGTGAATCCGTGAAGTTGAGCCTCGTTCCCTTGAAAATTCTTGGCTGCATTTCATTTGATCCCGGTCCAAGGTCCAGAAACTTTAGCACTTCCATTCAGGCGTTGCTGTGACCAACTGGTCTCATATGCACGTCCTTGGGCAATTAATGGGCCTCTGGGTAAGCAGACTCTGGCCCCTGGAGTACCGTCGCCTCCGAGGGGACCTAATTCTTACGCCCTGTTTGAACAAAGCTTGGCAAACAGGTTTTTTACCGTTGACCCAGCAAACACCCGGCGGGGACATAGTAAGAAAATCTTCAAGCTCAGGGCACACACATTCATTAGACAAAACTTTTTTTCATTTCGGGTAGTAGCTGCGTGGAATGACCTTCCTCCGGCGGTTGTACACGCTCCTTCTCGAACCCAATTTAAAGCACTATTAGACATTTATTTATGCGAATCCTCGCGCTGGCGAGCATACTGCCCCGCGCTGAGAACATAAAGAGCAGTGCTACACCCTTTTTTCACTTGTGCCTTTCAGGTGAACGACAGCCACTGACCGACAAGAACAAAACCGACCCGGGAAACTTGGGCAAAAGCCTCGATCCTGTGTATCAATTCGTGAATCCGTGAAAATCCGTGAACGACGATTGGTCGAAAATATAGACAAAATGGCCAATCGGAATCTAGTATTTCCTGTATGCCCTTCCGGCGGCGCGGAATCACCGGCTCACGGACTCAGATTCACGGATTGATACACAGGATGGAGGATGTTGCCCAAGTCTCCCCGGTTGGTTTTTTTTCTTGTCGTTCAGCCGCTGTCGTCCACCTGAAAGGCACAGGTGAAAAAAGGTGTAGCACTGTTTTCTATGTTCTCAGCGCGGAGCAGTATGCTTGCCAGCACGAGGATTCGCATAAATTTTTGATAGTGCTTTGAACTGAATTCTAGAAGGAGCGTGGACAACCGTCAGAGGAAGGTCATTCCACGCAGCTACTGCCCGAAATGAGAAAAATTTTGCTCAATCAATGTGTGCGCTTTGAGCTTGCAAATATTCTTATCATGTCCCCGCCGCGTGTTTGCTGGGTCAACGGTGGAAAAAATGTCGTCCAAGGTTCGTTCAAACAGGGTATATTGGGCCGTTTTCTCATGGTGCACTGAGAAGGACAAGTTTGAGGAGACCCATATACCCAAATCCTTTTTGGTGTCTATCCTCATGATGTCCTCTGACCCTTTCTCACCATACATGACAAGGGCATTCGCTGAGTCTCCTCCAAATGACATGGGCGCACTTTTCGTCATTCAGAGGAAAGGACCTGTCCAACGACGACTGCTTTGCAGCGTCTGCATCCGTTTGAAGGGCACTGGCATTGGAACTCCAGGATTTCAAGTCGTCCGCAAAAGTAGACATCTGTAAGGTCGGTGACATAGAAACACCAGTGGTCCCAGGACAGAGCCTTGAGGAACCCCAATGGCGACCGGCGCTGGAGGAGAGTAGGTAGAGCCTATTCTCACCTGGAATGACTTCATTGACTTCATTCCATTTGTTAACATCGAATTCTCGTAGGCATCTGGAACCCTCTGCTGTGTATATGTTACAACTTTTCCGCGAAACTTGTGATAATGTCTAAGGGATACTGCCCATTGTGCTACTGTAAGCTTACATAATGTTTGTCTCAACCGTATTACACCTTAACCTCTTGTAAAGCACCGTAATCTGGTTCGGTTCTCCTGGATCAAGCACACTGCGTCAAGCCCGGAGAATAGGAATCAGAGCCAGCTACCGGCTTGCATCCTTCACCAATCCTACTACTGTGGCTGACTTTCAACACCGACTCCTTATCTGCCTGACCCGTATATACAGGCGCACCAGCGGCGGCACTTTTGTCATGCTTACCTTCTTCTTATTCGCATTCAACAACGACCAGATTGTATCTCAACAGTTATGTATTTAGCAAAAATACATCGCAAACGCCTTTGTACTCGGAATGGCAAAATTTTGAAATTTTCCATTAAAGAACGCTTCAAAACACGCCTCTTAAAACAGAGCTTTCCAGGGGGGTACATTCTACTAATGAGAACGTTTTTTGATTGTGTCAAACTGGAGGAGGAAAAGCTCTAACCGGCTTCCATCTTCTGATTCTGAGCTTAATATCTGTGGTCGATCGCTCCTGAGACCAAGTAAAGCGGATAAAAACGCAGCGCATTCATTAGGTGACACGTTCGTCATCCTTGGTACCGGCTGTGAGCCGTTTTCAACTTAGCGTAGATGGTAGTCTAATCTGGGGAATATCTCTTATCAACAACAAGACAACCATAGATATCCAGTTTTTTATTCCACCACTGGTTAGAGAAACGGGCAGTTAAGGGGAAATGAATTGGACTTTTTCTGTTCACTGACGCAATACGAATTCCAGTTTTCAGAACTGGAGCAGTCGTGAACCTGTATGGCAAATGGCCTGCAAAGGGACCGTGTAGAACTACAGGAAAAAGTTGTTTCCGCTTACTCAGTGTGTGCTTGCGAAAATTCCTTCAACTTTTTCTTTGTGAATAAGTCCATACTCAGCCCACTGAGTTACTGTAGTAGCATCATCAACAAGGCGGAAGATGACGAACAGTTCACAAACGTCTGCTTTGCAAGGCATTTTGGAAATTCTAAACGTTCATACCAAAAAATTCCATGACGTCTTTCCGGTAAGACAGTTTTCCGGAATTAGTGCCACAAACAAAATTGCTAGCTGTATTATTTCTTAATGAAGAAAATCACAGGAGTTGGCGCGATCCCACACATGTGGCGTGACACACAGGTATTATTTTAAGTTGCGGCGCGCTTGTTTTGCATGTCGCAAGAAAGGAAGGTGAGCGATGTGTCGTGAGGAATATTGTTGTGGACAGAATTCTGCCCCAAACACTTTCAGCCTGTCTAGTCATCAGCTGGGGTTTTCTTCCGTATTATTTTCATGTGTGAAACAATGACACGGGTCAGCGGGAATGAATTTGACTTGATGGCCTCGTGAGAAAATACGGCACACTACCTTGAAGTTAAGTACATTTTGGACACTCAGATTCAGCGGAATACTGCGCATTATCTGGTTTGGTGTCATACTGTGGACGAACAGTGAATGACTTGCAGATGGGCAATTCAGGACCAGTTGATGGCTGCACAGTAGGATCAGTCAAAGAGCACAATGCTCCAGCTTATGAATCTTACCTATCACTCCGATTACATACCTCACGCCATTAATTCTTATCTTGGTAAAGCCAGGGCTAGTCTTTACCTCAAGGATCCTAAAGTCAGAAGTTTGTGTGTTCGTGATGTCTTTTCACGAATAAAATTTACCAATCGTCCGTAGTGGTTGGACTTTTCAGAATTAGAGGTTTAAGTCCTCTGTGTACAATGATGTCTAGCCATACAGTAGCTTCATGGAACTCGGCGTCCCATGAGGTGTACGCAAAGCATGAATCCTGCAAACGATAACTGTAATAATCAGTTTGGTTGTTATGCCTTCGTATATTTTTCATGCATCGTGCATAACAATTTTCAATAAGAAGGTACCTGGATTTTTATAATCATGTGGCAGTTCTGTTTTTATTAAGTAACGCTGGTTGTCGCAGTGCGCACTTTGACGAATGAAATATCCTGTCGCCGATGGACCTTCTCCGACCCGGCTCATCTGACAGATATGATAATCAGGTTCAATAATTAGCTGCTAGGCGAATTTCTTTGAAAGCAGTAAAAACATCGAAATCGGTGCTCATTCCCCTCGGAAAACGGTGCTTGCTTGGGTGCATTTATCAACTCTGAAAGGATTTGCCCTGAACACGAGGACGAGTACGACCTAGAAATCTTGGACGAAATTGTCGTTTCAGCATATCAGTTCATGAACCCGTGTGTCAAACCTCAGTCAATCTGGTACCCAGCCACCAGCGCCATTGACGCAAGTGGTCTACTCCGTTTACCTCTCTGAGCTCCTGATCCTTGACGCCCAGTTGATAAGGTTCGGGTTCACACAGATTTTGCTACAGAATCTATTCGCCCGTATCATTATGAGTCTTTGAAGACACTTTACATAAACAGCTCACTCCACCTTATGATATTTCAAATACTAATCATACACACGGATGACGGGGCGTTCCAACGACTAAAGGATACACTAAAAACTGGGGCACAATCGAGTTATGTTTGCCAGAGGTGTGGTAAATACTTGAAATCTTGTTACTAGACGTATCGAGCCGTGTATGACAATCACCACATAGCACTCTCATGCCGATTATTTTACGGATTCTAAAGTGGAAAGCGAACCCCAACAGGAACCAAACGCATCACTGTTTATATTCGACAACTGGCAAAGCCCGCACAACCTTGGCCTTGGATAGTTGCCACACACTTGTAATATGCACGCTATGGAAGCGTCAGGGGACAGTGATTCTCCGAAGGCAGGTGTTCACGACAATTTCTGTGGATGGAAAACAGAAACAAAGCTCATGCGCCAAAGCCCAGTAAGCAAGGTCGTACATCACCAATAATTACATATGAATCAATCGAACTGACAGATACCGTTTACTACACACTTAATCCGCTTAGTTTATCAAGCAGTGCTCATGCATGCTTCCTTCTCATGCCTCAGAGAATGGCTGTAAATCAAAGCTGGAGTCGCTGTAATAGTGGACGCAGTCCAATTTGCAACCATTCGGACACACTCAGAACAACAATGAATTGCACGAGATGGTTGAGAACTAAAAAAGCGGGAGTTGGTAATGGCCTGCATGGGATGCACCTTTTCTCTGTATTACAGATGAACGGCTGTTTAAATTCACCAAAAGTAAACAAAGAATTTAAGCGGGATTTCGGATAGAAATGAATTACCACGGACAGAATGTAGACGATGAAGGACCGTGGAATCGGGTGAAACTATTTTTGTGTGGATCGTGTTTCCTCAACTTTGCGCTATTAGCTAAACTTCCGATTGATTTTTATTTGGGATCTGGATGGTCCCTGGTTTGCTATTTCTTGTTCCTGTCCATATTTGCGGGGCCCACATTTTATATTCAATTTTTGGAGGGTTCCCAGCTGCACAGCGGGTTAGTAAGGATATTCAGGTGTTACAACCCTTGGAGCAATGGTGAGGTCTATTTTTCCTGGAAAAAAATGATGTGACTTATTAGTTGGCGCTGTCGGCTACGTATTTGTCAACTTGGTCCAATCGGTTTTGGATTCTGTCCATCTGACTTATTGCATTTCTTATATATTATTTGCGCTATATCACTGCGATGGGAGGCAATGCGTGAGTTCGAGCTATATGTGGAGTTCGTGTAATGACGCATGGGCCGAAGGTGATTGTAGAGAGTACGTATAGTTTTAATATTCTAACGTATTTAGAGGATACGAGCTTGTATACTCTGGACCAATGGCCGAAGAAAAATTCTTACTGTAAGTGTGGTTGCAATTTGCAGTGACTGTTGTGACGTATATATCAAATTTCGGCCTTTGACTCGTCTTCATTCGCTACTATTATTTTACGTGGGTCACGCAGTTAGCGGGGCAAAACTTTCGCTTCGGTACATTAGGCTAATGAGTGTATGCGAAACTGTCACCGGGATTAGGGCGCTTTTGGCTGTGAATATTGTATTGTTCGAGCAAGTGTGCACTGTTGCATTCAAATTTTAATTTTTTTACTATCCCTAGCTAGGCCGCAAGGACATCGCATCAATGACTCCGCCGTTTTGGCCATCGAAGCAAGCAGTAACGTATTATACCCAGGGAAAGATACCCACGGGGCCATTAATCCATAGATATGTTTTATATTCACTGAAAAAACTTTAAAACAAAAATGCACCACACAACTACTAGCATCGGCCCAGAAAGAGGTATATCGAAAGATGAGAGAGACTCGTAATGGCATAATTTTGCAGGATAAATCATATACGAGACCACTGCAGCGTATTTAATGAAGAGTAGAGCTGGTATCTTTTGGGAGAAAATGGATGAACGAATATGAGAATCTTCCAAGTTGAATTCGTGTGCAATTAGGTGCTTAAACTAAGTGTAAGGATTCTTTAGGATTAGAGGAAGATTTGCATGATAAGTGCATAAGATGATGAGAAATTTTTTGAGAAACGCTACAAACCGGTTTGGAAATAGATTATTTTGCAATCATTTTTATCCGCTGAAGACTTACCGTCGATGGCTAACTGAAGAGCAGGGCTCATTAGTAGTCCACAGTACAACACAGTTATCTAGTGGATAGAAGTCACCATACACTGTCCAAAGATTAATTCTACTTTGATCTCTTGGGCGTTAAAGCGAAAAAATGCGAAAAGCACATTTGCTTTTGCGTTGCGTCTGTGGGTTAAACCAGAGAGTCTGGTGCACTAAATAATTACCATTCTTTCAGTTCAGCTGCACATTGAAATCCCTTGAAAAAAACGCTTTTCCAAAAACCCGCAAAAATCCAGCGCATTAGTAGTTTTCGGAAAAAAGGATGAAAGTTAACGCGGTAGTCACAGTTAAACTGGGTTGAAAACAGTGGTGACGAAAAATTTATCACCACTCTGCGTTGGATTGCAACTGCCCGTAAGGGACTGATTTGAGGTGACCAGGAGAGATTTCGGTCTGGCAGAGGTTCCATTGACGGCTAGATGAACGCCAAAAGACACAAGACATCGAGAATTTATTAGTTGTGGATGGTCGGATGCTTTCGACTCTGGTTGCTGCTATGTTTTCTTCAATAAGCTTTCTCAGTAATAAATTCCTTGGATGTTTACCAGCACTATGGGGTTTTATATTCCCAGACGTGTGGGTGTATGTGACAATACGGGAAGCCCTGTAAAATTTTCTACACAAAAGATGATGCCTGACAAGGATGCTCATACCTGTTTCCTGTTTGGTTTCGTGATTAACAAGATGAAGAGGCCAAATGTACAATTTCTTCAAAAGCTTGCTTTTTAAATAGATGGTAACGAAAACTTTGTCGACCTGGAATATGCAGACAACATTCCAATCTTTCTTGAAGAGGAGAAGAAGGCGAGGGTGATTTCGACTAAAATGACCAAAGTCATACCAACCTTTGGCATGCACTCTTCATCCTCGAAGTCTGAGATGGTGCTTCTGGACATGCAGTCACTGAAACGCTGCTTAAAATCCAGTTACAGACACTCATGTTTATAGGGTGTTTTGCGTATCTTGGACGCTGTGTACTGTTGTAGATTCTGTACAAACTGTGATGTGATTAGATCATAGAATGTGTCCAGTACTGCGTAATGTGTCAAATTTGTCTTGTTTGGCGCAAGCTAATTTGTCGCTTTCATAGAGGAATTCTGTTTTCATGACTAAGTAAAAAACATAGGCAGAGAGGGCGTCAAGCTCTTACCTAACAAAAAGTTATGAAGGTAATAACGAAAAGCGTTCCAGATTCTGGTCTACATGCACGCTGTTTTACAAGTTGGGGGCGCTGCAAGCGATTACTGCCAATGCTTGTTGGACGTTACTGTTTTGAGTTTCTACCAAGATTACCTGAACGGATGCCGAGGCGTAGGTATCTCACTTTAATTGCAGTAGGTCAGTATCGGGTCCTCCATCCACCTACTGTTCCTTTTTTGAAAATTGGCTTTCAAATATATTATGGCTTTACTGCAGCATGGTATATCTATCTAACAAATTTTAAGGCGTTGGTTTTAACCATCGTTCTTGTAAAGAAATCACTCTCCCTGGCTATTAAGCATATTTTGTGACAGAAAATTGGACGGGTCTTTATGATGTTTATCCAAAAATATACCAAAATCATTGCGTAAACATAGGACACCAGGATTATATTGGTAGTTGGTAAATTGCTAATTCATTCTTTTTATAATATACCAATTGGATTTCAATTTTGGCTTACGTTTACTATGTTTTGTGAATCTTAAAAATCTCACTTCATTTTCTCTTGAAAAAACATCAATCAAACACAAATGGCAGTATCTCTGTTAGCTGTTGATGCATGCTTTTTGAAGATAGTAAGTCATACGACGTTAAATTAATAAGATGCACCAAAGCCTGAGAAGATGCTTGGTTGGCAGGCGATGTATTAGTTGAACAACTTGAAAAGCAGCTTTTGTCTGAACGGCAGTAGCACCAAGTTTGTTTCCTTGAGAATGCCAAGTAATATAAGCCAGCAACTTCATCTTTTTAAGAAATACGTTAGGAATATTGAGAAAGGTGTGATTGACCTTTCTGTGCACCATTATTAAAAATTATATTAGGAATGTTTTGCAACACTATTCAAAAGGTTTTTAAGTAAGTTTCAACGACTGAACATAATAACAAATGCCAGATTAACGAAAAGTTTGTTTGTTGATAGTCATTTAGTTGATGTGGCTAATAAACCATGACAAACCCGAAATTAGTCAGAAATTGTTGTGAGCTAAAAAGTTGCAGTGAGAATATAAACTCGCTGTAGCTACTACCGGTGTTGATTACAGGCGTTCAAGATAGTAACGTTCCATTTTTGGCAGCAAAATGCCCAATTGGTGGATTTATGTTGAAGAGTACTAATTGGTGCGGCCGTATAAAGCATACCATATGCCTTTTATTTAGGTTCGTTGACAGAAGAGTGGTCTTTAGAATCAGATGCCTTAAAGATGGTATGTACGCTGATAAGAAAAATAAAAATCAAAGCGCAATGTCTTGCACTGTGTAAGTCATTATGTTGACTTAACGTCACAGAAAAGCAAGTACTGCATAAAACAACCAAGGAACTAAAAGGCTCCTCAGTTTTCTTGAAACGGTTATACTGACGCTGTCAACTGTTATAATCACATAAAACGTTGCTAGAAAGGCAAAGAACAACGGGCTCTAAAGAGAACACAGACGATTTCGCAAAAACACTCCATACGGTAAAAACTACTTGTGGCCTCAAAGTAATTTGACGTGTAGAATGCCACTAAAGTAGCTGTAAATTGCTATTGTTTGCAAAGCATTCCAGTTATCGAAACAAGGGCAAAAAACTGCGCAAAGCATTCGCAGTGGTCTATTTTTTTAATTATCGACAAAGCTACGGCATGGTAACCATTTGTAGATATCATATGGTGATTAAGCAACACGTACACATTTTACGAATTGCCCGAGACCTGACAACTATTGTCCAATTTATTGTGGTCGTCTTAGTACATTCATATTTAGCTCTTTCGTTGAATTATCACGGAATCGCCAAATCGTTTTTCCTGCTATTCCGGGTTAAATTCCTGTTCGCAATAGTATATGTTAAGTGTTAACGTGACAAAACCGATACGTTGCACTAAAATAAAATGCACAATTTTATCCATAATATAACCAATAGTAAAGCACTTTGTAGTATCGCTAGTGAGGGAGTAATATTTCTCAAGTGACAGCCAGTTGAATGGGACTACGATTTTGGCACTAAAATAAGCCAAACTCTTGAAAATGCGTTAGGTCTAGTTTTACAGCAAAGGGCTGCTACTATAACAGAATGCCCTACAGGCTTTTTTCTACTGTATTTTTTCCAGCAGCATTTTACGATCTTCCAAACAGTGTGAGTGAAGTACAGTCACAGCGGGCTTAATTTGGGCTTTGCTTTCGTTTTTTGTTCCGTACAAACACGATCAGGGACACTATCCCTCAATGTGGCGATCAAAACAAAAGTGCCCAGTTGTAAAAGTCTATGTTTTTTAAACCTAGTATAAGTGATCGATGTAATGGAATGGGTCAAAACTCTATAAAACGATTGACATAAAAGAAAACAGATTGGCCAGATATGAATTTCATACTGGTCCACATTCTGGATCGTTATGAATAAGTTACACGTTGAGGTAAACAAGGCGGTAGATAGACAATACTACATGACTTCTGCTTAGTTCGGATATTGAAGTGTCTGGCCAGAAAATAAACTTTAGAACAACAAAACCCTAAAAGCAGCAAAGTGCAAGAGTGCTTATTGAATGTAAATTTTGAATGCGTGCATCTTATCCACCATACGTTGACTGAATGACAGGACAGAATACCATACAATGATAACAAAAACTATTTGACTTTTGATCCAGATCCGTAGCCGTGTTTAAGCTTTAAGACCCTGAGTTTTGATTATTTTTGGTGCTGCTTGTACTTGGCTTAGATTTCTAAAAATAAATTAAAATTATACAACCGTAAATAATAATTGCAAAAAAGCCAGGGGCTAAAAACTCGTAGTTCTGTTGTGGGGCTTTTACTGCCCAGGTTAAGTTTTGATGGGTCCTAGAATTTTTAGTCTAATCACCTGCTGCTGATGATTGTAATAAGGTATAGCTTTTTTCTCATTGGCATTAGAAGTTTGTACCAAAAACTCACATCTAACGCCAAAGAACGATAGGTTATTTTCAAGCCGCTTTATAACAGGATTCAATATAGCTCGGAAAACTGATGAATCAACTATTGTAAAGCTGATTGGTTAGCAAAACATACGGTATGATGTAGTTTTAAGGACTCGCAAAGGCTGCAAAATGCTTTGTTATTTTGGCAGCTTGTCTGCGCAACATTGATCTGAAAATCAGAGTCAATTTTAGGGGTCCTGTAAAGTAAAACGTCATTAGTTGGTGTCTCGACAAATGTATAAATACATTTACTTCACAACTATAATTGGGCTTTTTTATGGGGCGGCTTTACTTCCTGTTATCTTAGTTAGTTTTACTTAGACAATAAGCGGCAGAATTTGTTCCTCGCAATGCTCCATACCAACAATCTTTCAGTAAATTTTTAGGTGGAATATAAAGGTTATATTAAGGTTTTAGTATTTCAAGATGTTTTTCTGAATTGTTGACGTGGGATTTCATTATTGGGGCAAAGGACATATATTTTTTGCTTTGCGATATGTGAAAAATATTCGGCGGGTTTCCTTTTTTGTATGCTATTAAAGGAAAACAATCGTGAAGCGCATTTATGAGGACACTTTTGGTGAATAACTCAGGCTTTTGGCTGATTTGCTGCCTTCATTAAGAAACGGATTTGCTCTTGCATCGAACGCGGGAAATTTAAAATAGTTTATCTTTAATTTTTAAGGCCTTTGAATCCTGCCCATTTTAATGAAAGCGGCTGGTAGTGTATGACGTACGTAGAGTGCTGCACAAAGTCAGAACGCCTGATCATCAACAAACATCATTTGTTAGAATGGAAAGCCAAATATTCAAGCTTATCTGCATGTTTTTGCCGATGGTATATGTACCTGGAAAGTTCATTAAAATTTATACTAAATAACCACTCATGTTCTGGCACACAATACAAAAACCGGCTAACTGCTTGAATATTCTCTACAGTTGGCTCATTGCTATAGCTCTACACGAGATGGACTCAAATTTTCACTGAGTAGAGTTTGTGGAGTTTGGGGAGGGTAACGTAGCAGTAAGACTTCACTCGGCTTTTGAGGCATCCGTGTAGCAAAAAACACGTTTATTGTTTTATTTCACTCTACACGAGTCCTTTATATCCTTTTAAATGAACGTTGAATTTCCATTTGAATATTTATTAAATTCTTCTCTACCTCGTAACAGAAGCCAAAAATGTTAAACTAAGTCAGAAGGGGAAGTTTTTCTTGATCTTGACGTCAACATGCTGTTACGCTTGCTGCGTTTGCACAATGTTTGCCGTATCTAGGCAGCGTTATTGATGAGACGGTAGAATCAGCTTGTTTTAGTTGTCAGTCTGATTAAAGGTTACCTTCTACAGTTATTCAGCATATACTCTTGTTAGTCATCAAAAGGCATATATGTTGTAACCGTTAAAACTGCATTCGCACCTCCATGGTAGTCCTGAAGGTGATTTTGTTTACCAGGGGATCTAGTGCTGCCGTATTCTTACAAAGCATCTGACGAAAATCCTCCACTGTTTAGTGAGAGTGACTTATTGTATGACCCCTTTTAGCCTTTTCATTTCTAAAGGGAAACAGTTATTTTGTTGAAAACCATGTTCTTACGGATATCCTAAAAAGATAGCAGTCATGTGAAACCTCAAGTTAGTGATGAAAGTGTTTTGGTTAGTTAATTTTTCAGGCATTACAGTGACAGAAGTCTTATCGCTCAACCTCAAGTTATCTTTTTAATCCAAAGATGGCGTCACCTCAAAATCTATCTCAGAAACTACTGCATTATAATAAACATTAATAGATGGGTAGAACTTCATCCGAACAAAATACCGTCTGTGGTAGCTAGGAAGGCCCATATGAAATCGTATGAAGCTTCAGGAGGCAAAAACAAGCCACTTTCGATTTTGTTAAAAATGGACTGAGTCCTCTCACACCCACAAAACACGATAGGGCAAGTTACGTTACTTAAATTTTACAGTGGTGATGTGACACACAGACCAAGATGACAAATTAATTGACCATTTTACCACAAAATAACACATCCGCTGATCACAAGAAAGCCAGTGCGATGTAAAATCGGGCTGCTACATGGCACCAAACTCAAACGCACACAAAAATATCCTCTATCACGTCCGAATGTTGCTTTTGCTAGTTGTTTCAAGCATGGGTTACCCAGAAGTCTCGCAGCAGTGCCTGAGCTACTATCAAAAACGTGGTGAGCCGGATTGATAGCTCACGCTACTTTGCTCAAATATCGAAACAATTAACTACTGTTGGTGGTGCGGCTTATGTCAGCCTTAACATTACCTTGCCCTATTTCTACCCTTACTAGTCTACCATAAGTAAGGCACTTCCAAGGGGTGCCAGCGCCTTTGATAACCATAGTTCCTTCACCGATGCTGAGAGTACAGAAATCCAGTGTGATATAATTAGGTTTAACGGTCGAATTAACCAATAAACCGATTGGATTCCATGAGGCTCCTTGTTTCTTTGTTCAGAATATTTCATCCTTGGTGTAACCTGTACATTGTGCGTTCAACAATTGTAACAGTTCATTGAGAGTTTGGCTAAAGTACACTGATGAACCAAGTCCAATCATAAGGACCTGTTACGGAGATCAGCTTATACCAGCACCTCAGCACCTTGTGAAGCGTCATTTGATTCGCTGTAAACCTTGGGATCCCTGATAAAGTGCCTGGTTTTCTAGAATGCGAAACCTCTTGGAACCATGATCAAGTTGAAACAACAGTTCATCAGTAACCAACCCAATCAGGTTACCATCTAAATGTAACTTTTATCACTCACTGGGAACAGAGATAATTACATTCCAGGCGCTTATCCTCTGGACATAAAAGACATGTCATATCAAAACCCCAAGAACGAGGTTTCCTATATTATGCCAAAGCTGAGAAAAATGCTACTTTAAAAATTTTGTGGGATGTGTATTTCAGCCACTCTAAACGAACGCAGCTGTCCGACCATCGGTCAACCACAGTGTTTTGATGAGGATTACTTACAAAGCACTTAACAACAGAGCACAGATAAGGGCATCAAGAACACCATATCTTACTAGAAGGGAGTACCAGAAGTAGCCAGTAAGTAATAATGTGACGTTCAAACAGCCCAGCTTGCATGTGCTGTCAAGTGTTGCTTACACTTTCTTGACTAATACACTACTCGTAGATATGTTGAGGGTTTTTTGACAGTTTACTACTGATTTTGCAGTTCCTTGGACTCATTGAGTGGACCTTTTCTCTGAGGCTTCATTACCACTATGATATAACTGAACAAAAATGGTACACGTTATTTGGATATTACCAAAAGACTAGCACGCAAAGTGTGAAAAACGATAGATTCGTTCAAGTCCTTCGTCAACATCAATATACTTCGCGAGAAAGTGTATCCATTCACCGCTCATGGTTTATAAGTTCTGAAAAGGAGTTCCTTGCAAAGCGTAGCGAAGCATTACTAGCCAAAACCGCCTTGGAGAAATAATAGATTTCCATTAGCTTACTGATAAAGTGCATGCTAGGTTAGACGAACCAAATAGGAGTTTGTTATATAAGTCTCTCTTGTAGACACAACCAACCATTTAAAAATACATAGCATACATAATTCAATGCCTGTTCACTTGTTACCTCATATTTCGCCTTCAGTTTTGCTGTTCATGCTTGGTGTCGTGTTTTCTTTGTTATCATCGTCTTGAATGTCATTCAGTCGGTTTCTCTGTGAAGCCAATTTGACGGAGGACAGCCTGCTCCGTTCTGAAATTTACGTTAGACTAGCCTCAGATTAACCTAAACCGGAAGATGACCACTGTGGCAGTTCACATCTTTGACAAGAAGTATCCTTGCTTTTGCTACACTCAAAATACAGTCCGTTGCGGTTTATTCCCCTGTAGTCTATCAGAAACAGCACTTTTGGAAATCATTTAAACTCTTCGAAAATCGCTTGTTTCATACGAAGCAATGTGATATACAAGTAACATCCTCAGCTCTTTCTTTCTGTTATAGAAACTATGTTCTGATGCGAACTTCTTCGGCGATACCACTGTATGGATTTCCTTCATGGTTTCAACTACCTGGACTCGTGCTCTGTCCGTATTTTGTCGCATGGTTGCTCATTTGTTTGTTGGTTTTGTTCGGGAGAAAGGGTTTCGGATTGGTGAGTTTCTAAGTCGTGTTTTCTTCTTTTTGAGTTCACTTAAAAACACCGTAATGTCTTTTAATTGACAGTGGTTTGTGGAAAACAGTGGAGGGCTATTCTAGAAGACGGTGAAAAAATAGTCGCATAGGTGACATTCTGATTTCCAAAAGTTTGGTGCTAGCTACGCCACCACAGATGCTGTCCGACGTTGCGTGGATGAATTTCACATTGATTCGCCAGATGGCTATAGGATTAGGGTGTAAGCGCCCGGCCGTTAGCGCGACCTTGTCCAATGTGTAATCGCTATTTCAGCTGAGAGTACAGCCTTTCAAGAAATGAGATGTTGCTAGTTGGACTCCCTCTTCTGATGCTTATTTTTACCAACATGTTGTGCATCCATGCAATTTGTGTTAAAAATTTAGCCATGTCACTTCCGTTCCAATCAAATGTCTGGCGTTTTTTCCTGCTCAGAGGTGTACATTCAAAGTTTAAATAGACAAATTCGGGGTCCGAAGAATAAATAAATCTAACGGCATTGCTGCTTTGTTCCGTAAACATTCTCCTATGATTGAAGCCGGAGTGGATTTTTTCGTCGTGCTTAAACAATAGGACTGGAGCAATTGCTCAGCTTTCAGAAAAGCAGCTAAAGCAATGAAAATTTGTTTTACTGTACTCTAAGCGATTTCGTGATTGAAAATCTCCCCGACAGTGGTAATATGTAGTTCAGTGCTACCTTCAGTAAAGTGGAAATCGAGGTAATACTATGACTCGAGGAATGGGGGGATATATGGATACAGTGGGTTATATTTGAAAGAATAGGTGTGTGAGTCTATCACCTCCAGGTGAGCTTTTAAGTATTGTGACTGACTAGCTGATGACTTGTAACAGGTCACTTGCTGATCTTATCCTCTTGGGTTTACATCGGAGCCAAGCGCAAACGCACCACACAAACCATCCGTGGCTCTGCTACTGTGCGCAGGTATTCTGGATTTTGAAGACTTCTGAACGGTACAGAAGTCATTTACTGTGCTTATAACAATTTCTACACACTACTTGTAAAAGGAGATAGATTGTTCTCTGTTTATCGGGATGGACAGGATAAGACGTATCAGTCATCCGATCCAAGCCTGATGTGTTCACTTCACTCTGCATTACCACTCCTTATATTCACGAGGCTGTCAAAACCATCGGCATCACAATTACCGTCTTTCTTGAAATTTAATGGACTGTTGTGTCTAGTTACTTTATATCCTGGATACAAACCTCCTCCTACCACTCGCTGGTCAAATCGCTCTTGAAACTATTGGGCCCGTCGAGCTGCGCCCATGCATGTACAGCTACTTTTTGGCATCGACGCATTTAAGTGGAAACACGAGTTTGAGAGAGCAATTGTTATTTCGTCGTTCACATTTAGACGAGTGGAAACTCCATATTGGTTAATTTGTTCCAAATTCGCACATATTAATCCTACGTTATATTATCAATGCAATTTTTGTGTTCATCAGTGACCTGTGTAGCGAAAACTTGCAGTTGCGTTGTGACCCCCACTTGGTACACTGCTGGTAGAGATTTTCATAGTGCCTGCAAACGCCCCAACGCGATCTGAATCATTACTACCAAGGTGCGAATGACTTGCTTTTGTGTAGCCGACGGCAAAATCGATGCGAATCTAACAGCGCCGATACATTTTATCACAAAAGAAGGAGGAAAGATTACCCTGTCGCTGCTAGGTGTCTACCATGTGCGATAAGCAAACGGTTTCGCATAACAAACACTCTAATGGGAGAAACGTAGCCAGTAAACCACTTCCCACAGATTGGCTTCACTGAAACCTGAAAAAATCTGGTTTGATGTTCCATCTTTAGGGTTAAATGGCTGTTACAGGACGATCTGACGGGAGTACGAAATATAATCATGAAAGATATATATTCGAATCGATCTATCGACAAAAATATGTGGAAAATTTCTGCCGATGCTAATGATACCGAAGGCAGAAAAGAATATATCCTTCTGGAGTCCCCGTTTCAAAGATTGTACGTCCCTGCTTTATTTAGATTTCATCTCCGCCCCTTGATATCGTCATTAGTCACGCTATCGTTTCGCTTTTTTGTGTGTCTGTACACTTGCCGCAACTTGATTTATTTTGACTGCTGGAAAGTCGCCCTAGCATTTTCATTGTTCCAGTCCCTAGTTGTGGCCTCGGGTACGCGCGTGCACATGACTTTTGGATTCTTTAATCATCTCGCCTGGTCTAACCAGTAGTGTCATCATCATCATCATCATCGACAGCATGACATCAATGTTCAAAACCGATGCTTCACTGCCGTACAACCCAATTCATGGTTGTACGTGGGCTGGGATACTGCCAGGGCGCCCACACCTAGACAGGAGGACGATTAGGGTCCTCAACCAAAGCCTTTGGCTCAAAAGCCTAATTGCAAGGCAGCGATGTTTGGCGGGAAATGCAAATGCATTACCATTTCTACGGAACAAGTCGCCACATGTTCCAACCCCCAACCTGGAGGGCCAGGAGACTGTGTTCGTCAGACCTCTAACCATTGACCAACCTGGTGTGAGAGATTCTGCGAGTGTCGCGGGACACTCTCCAGTATTGCTCAATGGATCGCTGAGGTGTGCAAACCGTCAGACCACGGTAAGGTCCAGTCTGTTCGTTAGTGGCAGTGTATTGTTAGCCTGATAGCTCAAAAAGATACTAATCGGTCTACCTGAGTGATCATCGCATCATTCGAGTAGACTATATTCCGTCCCTCCATGATTGCTGTAGTGACCGTTGAACCATTGTTCGGTCTTGAACTGTATTTAGAGTGTGTAGCTTGGCGATCCGTTGAATTATTCTGTTTGTTTTTAATGAACCCGAGTGACTGAGTTGTTTTTGTCTACGTTCTGATTACTCATTCCTTAATAGTATCATAAAATTTAAAGTCAACACGTTGGTTCTAATATATTGGGTTGATTAGCTACATGTAACTCCGTGTTCCAATCACGAAACACCAAAGTGACGTCATTGTGCAAAGGGAACAGCACCGTGAAAAATTTTCTGCTGCGGCTTAACTGGTATGTCCTTCAGAACTCGTTGATCTGTGGTGACCGTTTCGATGGAAGCTTACACTATTCAGGTGCGTATGCAAGACGTTTAGTGTTTGTCTCGCGGCCAATCAAGCTTTCAACTCGTATCCACAGACGTATCCATCTCATCGTGAAACAGCTACTGATGACACAGGTGCTAACATTTTGATCACAGGCTATCTTCCGGGTAACTTCCATTTAGTTTGTTTCGTGGACTGCATCAACTAACGCCCTGGTAACAGCAAGAAAAGCCTTTTCTTAGGAAAAAATCGACTTAGAATATACGCGCCGCTTCATTTATAATCCAGATTTTATTATCAAATATAGGCAATGGAGCTTGAGTTTGACTGAGCCGGTTTTCATACTAAGTTTAAAGTCAGCCACCTTTCTTTCGTGAAGTGCAAACTTTCGATCCAAGACTTCAGCTCTACTGGACCGAAGCTTATAAGAGAATAATGAAAGTTGCGAAAAGAGTTCTCTGCTCGATTCACGAGACAAATTAGTCCTCCCACCATGTTTTTCTTTACACACAAACGTTAGACTGTCCTCTGAGGTTGTTGATATTCCTATATGTCGAAAATTCTCTTTTTAGAACGTCAAATCCATCTGTGAGCGGAAAGGCGTCATGAGGTATTTTAATAATACTCTAGATTTTTTCGGTTGTTCGGTAACCGGTGATTCAGAACGTGAATTGATGCTGAACCACCATAGGCAGCAAAGTGACGATAGGTTTTCGTCCTCGGCTTTTTCAAACTTTAGAAGCCATTGGAATTTGTCAACTTTGTGGAGTTCAGTCATTTTTGGGATCTATGACTTAATGTGATCAAATGGGCGGTAAGAGGCAAGACTGTCTAGGTAATGAAGCAGGAAAGAGAGTTACTTTTCTAATTTGCAGGCTAGAAACAAAACACCGGCCTAAGACGAGTCTCATAACCTCATTCGAAGGGAACCATGTGTAGAAGCTTGATTTCAGTAGGACAAAATGTAGAAGGTAAGCATATACTTGCATTTATTCTCTGGTTACAAGACCTGCTGATTGCAGTTGCTAACATCAAATTTGGTCGCTCTTTCGACCCAGATGTCAACTTTCTCTGTTCCGAGCTAACCGACAGAGTGAGCTCCTTATTGACGAATTTTGTACTTCCAATGCTCTTGGGTCGATGTGAATTGGGATGTCACCTGAATCAGGTACTCCCTCTTTATCTGCTTTACTCTAATCCGGTAAGCTAACTGCACATGTGGGACGCATGTGTGTGAGTTATTCAACGGGGATAACAACCTCGTATATGGTAGCTGATACAACGGTTACTTGGTGTGGAAAATTTGGATGAGTCTCATCATGTCAGAAACGGCGGAAACTTTGAGGGAAGGTGAACACACGCGGGTGCAAAAACCTCTCTTCTAAACACATTTCTTTCCGTTTTGGATCAGTCATTTTCGTGAATACACACCAAACTAAGGAAGAACTAGTCACAAGTTTGCCTTTGTTTTTGTCTCAGCATCTCTGCGTATCCTTGGCTCTGCCAGCAGATTACCAATACTCTGACAGTATGCGCTGAAGCTTTTTGAATTCTCACATCTGAACATGAGAGTGTTGGCGCTTGGGCGATGGGATTGGTTGATACAACACGCTTGTGAGCAATAGCCTGTGGAAGAAACTGACTAATATCAACATAATCCAACTGAAAACGATGGAATATCAGATCTTCAGTGTGCATTCTGCTATGAGAAGAAGAGTTTTCGGGCAATGCGCTTCAAGTTGAAATCGTCGCAGTTCTTTGTAGACAACATGGTACTGAGTAACATCTTTCGACTTGCTGAAAGTGGTGACTATGTAAAGAACAACTGATTCATTTACGTGTCATAGACATCTTTTGAAGAAGGCAGTTTATGGAGATTGAACGGAGCAAACGCTTCGACTCATCCTTTTCAAAATAAGATGGTAGAGATGGATGAAAAACATTCACTCTTCGATGATAAATTTTTAAGATCTGTTTGAAGGAACACTGACACAGTTGCCATATCAATGGCTTTTGGCAGTATTTCGGCATGAACCATACGTGGTGCACTATAGAATTCCACGTAGAAAGAGTATTAATTAGCGAGTTGCAAATCATGACTGCGATCAATGGTTGATGGATAGTCATAGCTCTTACAGAATATTTGCCTGGGTTTCATCAACTGAGGAATATTATTAGCCTCATTGAAGTCCATTGGTCGGTGGAAAAAGTGGAAAGAGATTTGAACCAATGAGATCTTCGTAAAAATTGTCAACTAAATATTGGAAAGTTAAAGAACTGTTGGCTTTGTTTCTTCTATCTGAGTTTTAACACAGTTGCTGAAAGGCAACTTTATTATTTCAATGCTGTGGTTAGTGTATTCCGTGGGGCTTTACGCATAAAAAAGTAGATTCTACCTCGGAACATTCCGTGATTTAGAATTTTTAACGAAAACGTGAAGAGTGCCATTTCCACGACAGTCACACCCACCCCTCCAGATTTATAGTCCCGATTTGTTAGTTTTTGGGAACATTTTACCTGGAAGGCCGTTATTAAATCTGATTTCAAACAAAAATTGTTTCATGCTACTCATTTTAAACCTACTTTTTCGCGCACCGTCGAAATAATATTACCCCATACATTTTCATCCAATAGGCTTGTTTGTACTCTTTAGTATGGAGGTTGTTCCATTCTGATGTCAATCATAAGCATCAAGGTAACATGCTTTTCATAGAAACTGTTATTTGTACCGTTCTTGAGTTTCCTGCACATTTAGGTGTTGATATTTGAGTATTATTGCAAGATTTTCTTACAAAATGGCCGCCAACATTTACGTAAACAGGTCTGTTGTGAGACTCATTCAATTCAGGTTTCGCAGTAGGTGACTGGAAACACTATAGTGTTGCGAACTTAGTATTCACCTCCACAAGCCTCAAATTTATTACTCTGACAAAGTGGAGACAAGCTGTTCGTGGTGACATCTCCGATATGCACTACTCATACAGGCACAAACTGGACTCTTCCTACGTTTTTGTTAAATTATGTACCCAAATACACAGTACAAAAGAAAAGGTATACATAAAGGTAGACATAGACTACCGAGCTCCGGCTCACTGGCCAAGTGATCTATCAACTGGGCTCTCTAGGATGCATGGTCGATACCACATTCATGCACTTGAAACTCATAGTGCTTCTGCATGTCCTCAACCCAGTGAAACAACAGGTAATGGCCATAAGGTCCATCTCCCACCAGACGGACCAACATTATCTGAAAAAACTCGCCCAATCATGGGAGACTCAGGTCAGGCATCTGTACGCTTGAACTGGGATTCATCCTGTCGAGTTCCGAGATGATTTTGCTTGAGCTGACCTGCTTGAGCTGTATGAGTTGCACAAGCAACTGATGGCTGTGAAACACTAATAAAAGGAAATGAGAAAGTTCCACCACTCTGACGTACACGTTCTTTGAAGAATTCCACTAATCGGGAATACGATTTGTATCAGAAGCCGGTTGCGATTCTTATGAGAAAAGTGAATATCGCTAATTCTGCAGATTGGGACAAGGATTGTGTTTACTCACTGTGAGATAATTCGTTGTGCATATGTGATTTTTGAGCCTAGATAACCGAAAAGGTCGATTCCTGTGCATCCAGCCTGAACTGATTAGGATGGTGTAGTGGCCTCTGTTTTCCGTGAATGACAGCACAAACACCTATGTGCCAGGATCAACCAGTTTACTTGTTATCAGTTTGTAAAGGGTATTTGAAGGTTACGTCAAAGGTTACGTCAAAGCAAAACCAGCCAACTATTTATAACTCCCTTGTCACTTGAACTGACCAGACACTATTCCGAGTTCCTGTATAGACATGAATTATTCTGAATGTCTTTGACAGGTATGAATCGTAAATGGGCGGTGCAGTACTCCTAACTACCATATCAGTTATTCCATATTTTAAATGGTATTATTAGTGTTTCTACCGGTTTTCAGAAAAATCAACGTTATCAATGATGAAATTAATCCCCGAAAATTTCTCCGCTAAGCCATGAATGGCCTTAATTTGTGTCGAGTGGAATTTTGAAATCTGTTAGAGGTGAAAGTGGAGGAGGAGGCTGAAAAGAACACATGTTTTTTCACTCTTAAGCAGACATCGGAGCTTCCCAAAACGAAATGTGTCAAAAGCTTCTAACTCACCAGCTACTTACTTTGAAATGAACGCAATTATTATATCCTAATTCTGCACCTTTGACAATTTCATTGCTTATATTTACAGCCCATGGGTAGCCTTCACGTTAGTTGGGCTACTTGGATTCTGGTCAATAGAACGCGAAAAAAATGAATCACCGTAGTGTGCTGAAAAAGGTTAATAGTCTGTTTACCAGCGCACTGGGAACGTCCAAGTGTTGCTGACTTATGGATGATCCTCACGAGGTTTATCCGGACGCATCATTACTAAGTGCACTGTATTTGTCTTGGTAGAAGGAGTTGTTTATTGGAAAAGTGGATTCAAACACAGTTTGTTCTTATTGTTGCGTACCATGTAAAATAGCATAAATTAGGTTTTGTTAATCTGAAAATATCGGTTGCACCTGACCAGATGCGCTGAAAAGGTCAAGTCACAATTTTGACAGATCTGGGGAGTACGGACAATGAAACCCCTCCACCCTAGGATTGACTGCCTTCCAAACTAACATCCGCTGGATAGCTCTTCGCAAGCAGATCTTTTTCGACTAGAAGGAGCGTTATAAAAAATGAGCCCGTCTAATTTTTTATGTCTCTAGATCAAACTATTCCGGTTTCCATTCTTTCTTCGTTTCACTCAGATGTTGTACATCCTCTCTCCACTGACAATTTTCTTACTGCTGGGTATCGTCATACAAGTTGGTGCTGAGTATGCAGATTCGAGAGGCCAACTTGGTGGTTTTATGAGCCAGTTCTTCTCCAACTTTGCCACACGTATACCTGTGCAACAGTACGCTCGGGACAAATTTGAAATCAAACCGTTGATTTGGGTAAGTGCGAGCTGTACAGAGAGAACAACCAAATTCTGTTATCTTTGGACGTCTTTGTTACACTCTAAGTGATTTATTTTACAGGACGTCACTGTAAAACTGAGCAAAATGTGTTACAATATGGGTTATTTTTTTATGTACAAAACTTTCACACTTTTCGTAGCAACTGAAGTTACCTGGGAAGGTAAATGAGATGGAATACCTTATTTAAAACGAGTCAAAACTAGTCGTGGTCAGTGTGTCTGATTTTCAACCGTTTGGGTAACCTGAGCTGCAATAAGAAAGGCTAGCCTTTTCACAGTGGACAAAGACTTCTCGGTTGGAGACTGCCAACGAACAATAAAACGAATAACATATTTATAGAGTTTGATTGCTTACAGGCAAAGTATGGCTACCGCCAGTTGACTTAAATTACCGCTAAAAGGAAAATAGCATAGAGCGCTGGGTTCTAGGGAGCTGCAGAAGAACGCTAAGCAACTTATCGCATACCGTACTGACAAGTACTCACCTTAGATTTTACTCTGGTGTGACTAAATTGCACTCCCCTCCCTATCTTTTCTCATGCGAAGATCCACAGGAAATGAACCGACGATGCTAGATCTCCATATTAGAGAGGCTAAGCATAAAATAAAGTGACAGCGAATAGCTTCTGTTCCTCAGAGTGTTGAAGTTCTGCATCGAGATTACCCATGGTTTGAGAACAAAAAACAAAAAAAATATTGCTAGGTGAGTGCGATACTTTTGTGATCGAGAGTGACATATCAATAATTTATACAGGATTAAACTTAGGGTTTGCGGTTTATCTGAAAGTCACTTTATAGTACCGGGCTTTAGCAGGATTAGGTTCTACTACTATAGGTGCTGTAGCACGCAGAACAGTTGGAAACAGTGATGCTAGCTTCGCTTCATCAGGCGTGACCACCATCTACTCCGCGAGCCGTCGGTCGCAGCACCCAGCTGCGGAATGACAGGGTTCCTGTAAACTAGACAAACCTCTGGAGACTACACAATGAGCACACTACATAACTGCGATACGGTTTGAACAGAATTGTAGATTAGAGTGATGCGAAGACTGATAGTTCTAGGAGTACAAGCTTCTCTACTGCAAAAAATGTCTAGTTCAGCGTAATATACCTTCTTCATTTACCAGTGTTTTTCAAGTCCATCCTATCCTATTTAACCCGGTGGCAGAAGCCGACATTTCTTATTCAGTTTTACCGCGTTAATCTCAGGACGCCAAATGTAGGCATCATTTATCTCAGTTACAAAAGTCTTCCGTAACGAACTTAAAAATACCCGGTGTTCGTCACCGAAGTGGAAAACGTGTCAGACGACTCTCATTAGTCACCCTGTCTGTAGTAAAACACCTACCCTAAACGAATATTTAGTATCGCGTGAGCGCGAGTAGTATAAGTACCGTTTTGCGTTTATTAGCTGTGAACCCTACGCGTTGAGAGAGTAAAATGTGAACAAATATATATGCAGCTTTGAGTCCCGTGCTACCAACCAGAAAAAATTCCGATTGATTAAGTGAAACCACTGTTTTCTTTGAATTTATCCTTAGTACCTAAATCCAGTCAGGGATTTCATCTCCTCGGAGAGAATCGTCACACTTGGAAGCTTATTTGTTGTGGAAGGAATGAGGCAAGACTCCCGCTACCTTGTACGAGTCGGGTGGCTTTTATAGACCGGACATCACTTTCAACATCTTCGATAGCACAATATTGGTGGTACATGTCTATGCTTCATTGATGTGCAAAAGTAATTCAATCGAAAGTCTAGTAACAAAAAAATTGAAAGAGGACAAAGATGGTTACTTAGTGTTAGTCTGCAGTGAACACTTCGGGGTATCTACATCTTTACAAATACAATCTAACAATTTAGAAAGCAGTGACAACAAGAAAATGGCTCCGATGAAATATCGGTCACTTTCAGCCAGGTAAAGCAAGGAATACAGGAAAACTATTCTAGAAGGCATATCGCACTACCAGCGTCCCCAGACCACCTATAGTCACTTACCCCTCGAACAGATCAAATGATGACCGCCTGTCTGCCTGCACCACTCTCTAAAGCCACATATAGTGACGCTCTTTGCAGTAAACGATTACTCGTCATGTGCCTCATCATTAATTCGTAAGCACCGGTTTCAAAATCTCTGGCATACCTTGCTTAATTCTATTTAATACGTATGAGAAACACATCGATATTTTTAATTCAGATAATGAAAATTTTCTGAAGTTGTGCGCGCTACACATCTCAAAATTAGTGGCAGGTGAGCAAGAGGCAAATAGTTTCTTTTCAGACTTCATCTTCTCTTATTGGTAGCTGTTGAGTACGGTATTCAACTAATCGCTTGAGGCTCATTTGGTCCTACAATTCGTGTAGAGTCCTCAGACACCTGAAATGAAGATTTTGATGAACAAAAGATCAGTCTTTACTTTATGCTGATTCAAACAACTGTGGTGCTAAAAGCCGGACAAGAATGACGTTTCCGGAGCTATTTAAAGGTTTTAGAAGGTTTGCTTTCATCTATTCCATCGGAATGCCTACGACGAACACTTCCCACCCGATAACATTCTCGTTAGTGACTTCCTCTGTCAGACACCAAGCAGAACCAACAGATTTGGCCACAGAAGGCAAACGATGATTGGGCGTAAAGCGTCTATCGCTTGAACTAGCATAAGCCACGCGCAGTCTTTTCTACTCGGTCTCATAGCCGTACTACATCTGAATCGCTAGAGCTGCATGCTGAGGGTTGACAATGTCGACGAAGCCGTAGCACAAACTACCATCGGTGTTCTTGTTCGGAATGAGTTTACATTGACGGATGGGACCAAAGCGTTCAAAGGGTATCTGAAGGTCGTTTTGATCGTGGCTTCGTGGTAGGTAGACTATGAATAGATTCGTCCAGGATCGACCCTAATTGAAGAATAAACTGCCTAGAGTACCGATGGCGATCAGTTACGTGAACACATTGAGTCCAGGGTGCTTTATCCGCGCTAACACTTTTTGCTAGACAGGCCATTTATACCTATCGTTGGGGAGCTGGAGACAGAATCCTGGAGCAGCATTGATGGATGGACGACTGAAAAGCCGCCATTTAGGCAACCATTTGAGTGCATTTCGCGAGAAAATTATCTCGATATGTAGACAACCTCTAAATATCAGCTGAGCAGATGTGAGTCAAGCAGCACACCTTCCAGACCGAGGCACACGGGATGTCTTGCTCGAAAATAACAGTGAGTAGTGAAGACAAATATGCTACCTATTTATTCACTGCTGTGAGAGCAATCACATTACTTTACAAAATTGACGGAATCAGTAGGGTTTATGGGGCATATCCGAGTTTACGGCTAAAAAGGCAGTAAGAACACTTTATGATCTTGAGAAATGACATCTCGTCATCCCAAGCCAATTATATCGTTTTGTTTTCTTGATTACTATCACTGACCAAAAAGGGTCGACCCTGAGAAGAGTGACTTAACGCATTCTATAAGTGGTGTTTCTTCTACGAGAAAAACCACAAGATTCGGTCTCAGGCGCCATGTCATGTGATCGATTTTGTCACAGAGTGAACGATGCCTTTGTTTGCACACTCACCACGTACCAAAACACACCGGCGCACTCGTTTGCTATTCCGAATTTCGGATGTTCGCACCGAACCAACTGCCTGGTAGGAGACGGCATTGTTTAACTATGTTCGGAAGACCAATTCACATTGGTGATCAATTAGTAATCGATGTTCACCTGACTTTCGACTCTGAAGCCAACTGACAAGGTGTGGACCCTGTGCCGGCTGTATCCAAGGTGAGGGGTGACTTGACATTCGATGAGATGCATCCAGGTTCTCCAGGGTGAGATGTAATTTGCATGCTCGTAAACACGAGAAGTGACCTCCGTCAGAGGCTTGGTAATATTGACCGAGCCATTGGTCAACGGCGGCAGGCAGAAGTATCAGTCAGCAGGTGGATATACTTTAAGCTTTCCGTTGGTATCCAATCAAAAACAAATTTTTAAGGCCTTGCTGTCCGAAAATGCAGACACGTTGGAATTCGGAAACATCACTGGATTTCGCTATCGGTTGACACTTGTTTAGTTCTGATGTCCTGTGAGTCCTGGGTGTTTTTGCAGACATTAGTTGCGAGATTGCATTGGAATCACGCAGAGATGAAGTCAGTTTGTAAGGTATGTTAAAAAACTAACTGTTGGGGGCCATCGGTGTAGCGATTCGAAGGTGGCAATAATTCGTGGTTCATGTGAAGGATGAAATGTCTGCTGTACCGCATTTGGTGGGCTTCTTTACGACGAGAATAGCATTTAGCACGCCCTTTTCCATTCGACTTTAGGCTTTCTACTTCAAATTAAGTCAGCGAGATGTATTACAGACAGCTTTTTGAATCAATTGGAAACCGCTACAGCTTCGGCGCACCAGTTACATATTCTGCTATGTTGAACAGCAGTTCAGTGAATAAAAGGCTGGTACATGTTCATTATGAGAAAAAGATGTGTGACATTCGTGTGTCATGTTTCACTCAGACAGTCCCTCTAAAAACGGGGAGTAGAATGGCCTGATTTTCGGTGAAGAACGGAGCTACTAATATATGCATGAGAGTGGATAGGTGCCACCAATGGCATTGCTTAAGAGGTGAATTTTGTGACAAATGATGCAACCGAAATTTGAGGTGGTGACGTGTGACTAGCCAGAAAACCGAATCCTTTAATTCCTAAGGAGAATCGCGCAATTTACGCTCATTCTAACGAGAGCAGAGAAGTCAATGGAACCAAAAATAATAAGGACTGTACAACCACACCCGTCTATCCGTACTAGTTTGCTGTGACTGGATAGTACTCAAATGTCATTGAGGAACTAGGAACGTTTACGAATGGTCTTTTCTAGACAGAACAGAACAGGAAGTCGCGTACTCACTAAATCGAGCGATGGCGCGTATGTTTTGGGACTAAATAGTGTGACTGCTGGATCGATATCTTCCTGATCTGTACGGACAAAAGCAACAAATTTACGTGAATATTCGTGGAAAGCATGTAGTGGTGTTGAACAAAGCGCAGACACTGAGCCAACAATAGTCAAATTATTCGAATAGCATAGTTAGCTGCGGCACTCTGGATTTCATGCCTACTCTCATTTGTTATCGTTGGAGCAGTGTGTAACTTCCCCTAGCTGGAAGAATAATGAGTTTGAGCCTTCGTTACTCATAAGGTTGCTGAAAATTCATCGGCAGCCCACGACCGGTATCACCCTTTTTGGGGCTCATCAGGTAGGCGCAGTCCCCGGGTTTCCGTCAACCTTATGTTCTACTTGAAACCAAATTGCACGAAATTTGCGAAATACACTCATTTGCAAACCAATTCGGTTTTGCGAGAGACTCACCTGGAACCCAGCTGAATCCCCGATCTGTGATGTTTCCAGGCAACTGAATGTGCTGCACCTTATGAGTAGTACAGTACGAATATACATGTATCGAGATATCTGGAATATTATAGCGACTAAAACATGAGGTGGCCTGGTGCAGCACATTCAGTCGCCTGGAAACATCACAAAAGAGAGATTCAGCTGGGTTCCAGGTGAGTCTCTCGCAAAACCAAATTAGTTTGGAAATGAGTGGATTTTGCTAACTGAGTTTAGGCCTTGTATATCGACGGGAATGAAACTGGAGCTGTTACGAACATGCCAGGAATCTAAAGAACAAGCGAGTTTCGGTATGGTATGGTTTGTTTTACTTAGACCGGTTGAAAACAGCCCAGAAAATGAAGATGACATGTGTCGTAGAAATATTTCATTATTTGTACTTCACGGGGACTTGAAGAATATCAGCTTAGCCCCAGCGATCCACTCCATTTTTTGGGATTTTAGCGCACGTTTGACATTACAAACAAACTGGGAGTGAAAAAGGGTCTCACCTGATTTAAAACCATCTCTAACTCTGTGTAGCTGGCTTTGTGAAATTTTATTCTGTGTAACTGGCTTATGACTGCCTCCGGTTTGATATAACGAGATCATCTACGTGCTGTGTCACTAGTACTCACTGAATAGTTTGTAAGGTAACATCCACCACTTAACCTAGGGGAAAATTTATGTGGGAAAAACAGCGGAGCTTAAATCCGAGTAGTTTTTCTGAAAAAAAACGACATCCACCATCTCATTCCACCACCTGACACACTTGTCTAATTATAGCAAGGTGCATTTCGTGCACTTTAGTGTGGCCACTGACATGCACCAAATGGAAAATTAATAGTCAGAATCAGAAGTAGCGTCATTTGAACGGAACTTTCGTGCTTTTAAGGGCAAGCTAGTTCATCATCTCCGGTATATGTGGAGGATACAAATAGGCCGAAGTGGACCAGTGCAATCAAATTCACCCAAGCCCAGGCAGGTAAACTTGATCGGTTGGTTAGCTCGATAACGGCCAGTTGCACCGATTTCTCCACCATGAGCCTGAACCCTGAACGAGTTAACGTCAATTCACCGGGAGATTTCGTTACATATGGTTGTCTCAGTGGGGCGATAACTAGATAGTGTTTTGTGAAACGGATACCTGTGTGGATGACGACAGAGTACCGGGCACTGTTTGGTCAGCCTACAGATGCCTGCAGCACACGATTCTGAAGAACGTCAGAATAATTTTGGCTAAGTTTCATGAGTTCCAAGAGGCCTTACATTTAGATGGTCGACAACTCTTGGGATATTGACATACGTGCATACGTGATGAAGAATGGGCGCCAAGAACATAGATGATATACGTAGAGGGGCTCTTCTCTGGTGGTCTGTGTTTACTTTTTGCGAAGACCCCTTGCAGTTTTGGCTAGCAGTAACCCTCGGCGAAATGTTGTGAGAGCTATTGATAGAGCACCACGCCAATGGTTTGTCAGTTATTCATATCAGGTCTTTGGCCAAATAATACTTGATCTCACTACAGAAACGTGATAAATCCCTCGAGTATATGTCGCCTTGGACGCATAGTCGCGTTATTATGACCTCACCCGTGTTGGCATGCCACGAAAGCTTTGACGAAATAGTTTATACAATTTGTAATGTTATGGAGCAGTATCACTCTGACTATCCAAAAACTTAAACGGTCATTTTATGCTATATGCCTGTTGTTTTTAGTGGACTGTTTAGAAAAGGTCGTTTCACGTTAAAACGTCGCAGCTGGATTTTATCAGTTTGCGGTAATACGCCGCTACCTCCCGACGAATACATACAGAAACATATAAAGCTTCCCCAGGCAATTCTTCAAGATGTTTTGCTGGTCTATTCCATCCGGAAAAGTCTTTAAGTTACGTCGATGTGTATCCGTTTTCTTACCACCTTTGCGCACGCATTTTTGCAGACACCACCATGTCCTGGATACAGTGCTTATCTTGAAGGTCGCCAGAAATGACGAAAAAAGAAGTTGCCTCTGCCTTCTTGACTAAGCAGTGCATATTGATAGAAAAGATTTGAAGCTTTTCGTAGCATGCAGATGCCAGTCCTTGCATATTTACGCATCTATTTAGGCCTGGAAATGTAAACATGTTCTGTTAAAAACATCAAGTAAGCTCCAACATATTCACGAAAGACCGACCTACAGAAAACTCGAGTGCGTAAATAAGGCTTGTTCTATTACAAAGGATTCGCTACTTTTTTGGCAGTTCAAAGGCCATAAAAATATCGGAAAGAAGACAAAGCACCGAAATGTACTATTTTTAAATCCCAGGTCTTGTCACAGAATTGGAGAGCAGAAAAGGAAATAAACATCAACATTAGATGTAATCGATACTCAGATAATTCCAATATGTCTAGTTTATTGAGTTTGAACAGAGAAAAAAGCCAGCTATTCGATGCAGTTTAATTCCAATTTAGCAGTCAATAAAAAAACGCAGTCACCTATCAAGGAGAATACATCAATGAATGGGAGGTGATTCTAGAATGGTAGCCCTAAAATTGCTTGATGGGCTACACCATTTCTAAGAGCACACGGGTCTCCGCTGCTTATCCAACTGGGTATCTTCCAAACGCACACTCTCCCATCATTGTTGCCTTAGTGGAACGACGGGAAGCACTGTTAATGGATACCAAAGAGGGTAGCAAAATCTGACTGCGTTCTGAATTTTGAAAATCTATCTTATCGAAGTTTAACCTCCAAATTTTGGTTAAGGAACGCTGCTGATAATGTCGGGCACAGAATTATCTGGGTTTTTGATACCTGGAATGCAGGAACTCATTCACAAACATCCCTTCATCACACAGTCCGTATGATGAATTCGGCTACCTTAGGTAACAATGCCTATAGCCTCTCTGACTTACATTTGGGAGAACTTGTTTCTTATACCGGATTTGACGAGATCAGTGACTGCTGTCCCGTATCCCAACAAGGTGTGCACTTGATGTTTCAGAAGCAGTGATGTAGAAATGAGAAATGTATGTAGTAAGACCCTGAAAACTCTAACTACAAAATATTTTGTCTCCATTCTGACTCACCAGAAGGACATCGAGGGATTTGTCTAACACTAAAACGTTGAATGACTGTATGGGGCAGTAAGTACGGGCTGCGTCAACTGACTCACAACGGTTTCAAAGGATGTTTCTCGATGCAGGTTTGCTTGCTTACCGTAATCAAATATGTTTTACCTTCCTACACGGATCACCCCGTTGATCAGTAAGAACCAGCTGTAAAGTTAGTGAAATACACTCGTTTCCTTACCAAATCTGTTTTGATGGAAGACTTACCTACAAACCAGATGGATCTCTCGTTTATTATGTTTTTATGTATTTGAGCAACTGAGCGTGCGGCTCACTTCTTAGTTGGTACGACATTCGATATATATATATATATATATACATATATATATATATATACTATGCGTAAGGTTACTGAAAACACTTATACAGCCCACGATCGGTTTCATCCCTTCTTGGATTCATCAGGTAGGCGCAGTTTTCAAGTTTCCGTTAACCCTGTGTTCTACTTGGACCAAAATTGGAAGAAATTAGCTAAATACACTCATCTGCTTACCGAACTGGTTCTGACGGAAGACTAAGCTGGAACCCAGTCGCATCTCTCCTTTAATATGGGCCGCAAGAAGGGCAAAACCGACTGTGGGCTGTTCAAGAGTCATCAGCAATCTTATGATTGGTGTCTCTAGCTGAAAATGAATTCATTTTCAGATAACGTTAGTGGAGTTGACAACACAAAGTTCAGGTTGTATGCACCTGTTCATTCTGAAGGAAAGCTTGATTCTATTCAAGCAATTCAGCAACGTCACTTAGTATGTTATACGGCATTTTATTTGATCCCCATTTTTCCTTGTTGTATCCGACATCACATAGTAGCATATGTCTTATTTTTGTTGCTGACTTTCCACCCCGATGAAATTCGAAGAACCCTTTCAACTGTCTTTGGTTTGATAGAAGTTTGTACATTCTCTCCGCAGAGTTTTTTTGGAAAAAGCCTAATAAACGGAAAACTAACGAGGTGATTCATGTTCATGGCGTATATGAAGTGCCCATTCGTAGCATGCATCGTAAGATCCCGCTTCGTCACCGAGATTTTGAAAGTTTCAATAATGTTTTAGAGATCCTAAGGGCTTCTTCAGCTGACTTTTTTACTGAAAAGTCTCACCACTTTAAACCTGAGAAAGTTACGATAACGCCTATCGAATTGTCAGTTTCTTGTTCATCTAGACACACCTTGTGCTAGCTACTTGAGGATCATGTATATCTGTGCCACTCTACATATGCCCCAAGAGGGTTTCACTGAACAGCAGCTGGTGCTGTTTCAATAATTGTTTTATTGAACTTGTTCTAGGGACTATGTTTCAGGAAAATCTCAGTTGTGAGGAACTTTGCTGCTGCTCATGATTGGGCCGCATGTGCTACTTGAAGCTTAGACTTTGGGCACTTCTGTTCAAACGCTTAGCGGGCAACTGGATGTGGAGACTGTGTCCGTTGCAAAGGCTTTTTAATCAACATGAGTTTGACAGATGACCAGCTTTTTGGCTGATTTACGGCCATACCGTCCGAGAAGAGGCCTTTTAAGTTCTATGAATCCTCAGCACAAATCACTCAGTGTGATCACTGAATCCGCTTACATTTGTCAACTGGTGTTCTCAAGATTATTTTGGATAACTGAGCCGCTTGGTTTTGAGCCAAGTAGCCAAGACTGCTGCAGCCGAACCTGAGGATTCAAAAAAAGACACAAATCTAAAGGTCGTATCGTCGGAATTTGAACCGAGAGCTGATTCGAGATGCAAAGCCTAAAAATATCGCATACGTTAGACTTGCACAAGTGAGTGCTTGTGGTTGCATCGTCTCAACAATCATTCCCTACCTAAACGCCTGTTAGAAAGTCGGCATGAAATTCTGGAGCTTTCCGCTCAATGCCCAATCTGAAATCTCTGCTGAAAGAAGGTCAACAAAGTACAGTACTCATGTGGTTTAGCACGAATGTAATTTGAGTCCAGCTCTTTCTTTCCTTGGTTTGGCACAATCAGAAGGGCGCCAGTACTCTTAAAACGAGAACGATGAGATCAGTAAATCTTCTAGTGATTTATCTCTTAAGAGAGTTCACATCGCAAGCAGGGCTAGTAAACCAGTCCTACACATTGATGAACTCTTTTCGACTGAAATAGACCTGAATTAGCCCACATTTAACACAATGTATAGAAAGGTTCCATCGCCGAAATACCGAGTGAAGTTAATATTTCTGGCTGAGTGTAGGGGGAACTTGTGGTTATTACTATAATATTAGACTATATCTTCGTGATAATTCACTGGTGCTGGTGATTCATACTCCAGTTTAGTTGGACAAAAAGTCAATAGATATGCCATGAGAAACGGCGTCTGTTGCACATCAGGAGTGCGTGTTGCGTACCAAATAATGAATTTCACCCCACACTCATGGAAGCTGTTGAAAACCACCTAGATACGAACAGAATTCCATTCCATCCGAGGTAGGTAGGATATCTTCAGTGCTGCTGTCGATGGTCACCCTACTACGAGGAAACAACCGTATCGAAAAGGTCTCCGTGGAATAGGACCACTTATTCATTATCCTAACGCCGTTTATCAAGATTGCGCGTAATGTATTGGCCGTGAACTTCGATGGCTTGCTCAAACTACTCACAGTATGTTTCCACTCCTTGTCACAGGGCCTGCTCATGACGTTTGTACATCTATCGCGTGTAGCAAACCTTTGGACTGGAGTGCTTCCGATGTTGGGCAAGTTTGCGAATGGAGACGGGAAACGTAAACACATGTAAGTCCTGGCGGATAGATGTCTCAGACCTGAAACAGGCCTGCTATAAGTTTCGCTTTTTACTCTGTAGGAGGCGTAGCTAGTCTACCGGAGCCCTCCATTGAATTCCATAGGCAAAGTTTTACACTAGACCAAGAACTGCCAATCATGAGGTTCTCAAATGAAGAGCTCCGCTTGAATGTGCAAGGTTAACAAATGGCAGAGGGTAGTGTGCGACAGCTAGATGAACGCCAGAATGGTTCGTATTAATTTCCCTGAGACGCTATTATAACGAATAAATCCTGGGCTTTTAAATCCAGGTAGGTATATGGTGTCGTTATTTAACCTACAGTTATTTTCTAACCCCATCTTCACGTTATAATCAAACCGACATGCGAACCGGAAAGCGATATCCATAATAATGGCGAATAACCACCAAAAACATAGTATGAGCTCAAAGAATGATGAATAAAATCGCTAAAAATAAGGTACATTATTGACAGAGTAATCAACAAGTGAAAAGGTAGTCTACTTATCTATTCGAATTGTGCGGCACATGGTACTTCCCGGTGGCCCAGGCCGAGGAAGGGGGTTTGGTTGAGGTACGGCACTTTGAGCCTTTGACTCAAAAGTCTGACCCACAAGGCAGCGGGGACCCTGCCCCTAGCCTCTGACTCAAAAGTCTGATCCATGAGTCAGCGGACGCTGGGTTTTCTTCAGGGACCCTTCCCGGAGCCGATTACTCAAAAGTATGACCTGCTCGGCTGCAGGGGATTGGCCTAACCCGAGGGCGCAGGGAATAAGGCATTACTGTCTCATTTCTGATGCGGCTGCGCACAGCAGGTGCCTTCTGAGCAGCACCGGGCTCTTCGGTATTTACTCTCTAATTTATCAGCTCCAGCCTCCAATGCGCAGCTACCTACACCACCTCCCCGAATCATCGGTGAAGGAAACTGTGGCAGCTACAACCATTGTTCGACAAGTACGTACGCATTGTAGCTGACAATGATGATGATGATGACTTATCCATCCGCCTACCTATTCGGTAATTAATTAATTTATTTATCCATTCACCCGCTGATGAATTCATTCATTCGCTCGCTACTTAATTATCTAGTTAATTGTCTCATTAATTCGTTCGTCCACACATTAATCTACGGATCCATCTGTTTGTTTATTCATTCCGCCGACCGCGGACGCGTTTAACTACTAATTAACTGATTAAGTGATTGTTTGCCTAACTAGTTGGTTGAATATTTCATTAACCCACTCATTTATTAGCCTATTTTACCCGAATTCAGACCCCATTTGTCCCCGTAGAGGTTTTTTTTAAGTTTCTGAGGCATGGACCACCGAACAGATACTGATTTTAATTGGTATTGGTAACGGCAATGGTAATTTCGTGTCAAAAACGACCTGATTGGTCCAAGTAACTTTTAAATTTGCCGAAATTTAACCAAGAGCTCACCTAGTCTTTCTGTATCGAAGATGAGCTCATGTTCCAGGCCGATGTAGACATTGCTTACTTTACCATTCCCGTCGAGAAACCCTTCAAGCAGCGTTTATTTATTCAGACACACTGCTAATATTCCTATGATTTCCATGAAAATCATATTGGTGTTTTTCTCTGTGTATCAATTCGTTTTTCTTTTTCAGAAGCTGGATACCTGTCTTTTTGGGCTTCGTACTACTTGCCCCACTGCCTGCATTACTTGTAGTTTTTGCCACAGCCTCCTCATACGACCCAGAGTACCTCCGTTGTCACCTTGGAACAGACTGGATGGCCCCTTTCGTGATCGTGCCTCACATACTTTCAAAGTTCTCTAGTCATCGGACTCTTGCAGTGTCATATTTTTGCCTCCTTCTACTTTGTATCCTCCTGTCCACGGTAAGTGAGTGGAGAATCAACAGTGGTAAGAGAGCTGGGCCGGCGATGGTTTTTGGTCTTGAGTTTGATTACCTAAGGAGCACACTTCGCATGGTCACTTTCGCTGACAGCTGGAGTTTAGGCGAAGTTTTCTGAGACGCGCAAAAATATCTTGAAGACCTTAACTGAGGGCCACCTCAGTAAAAGTCAAATGCACTGTCCAGAGAGACCGTGCTGAAAACATACCACCCGTTGGAAGATGGCACTTATAACTGGTCTCTCTAAATCGTTTTTATCGGTTATTCCAGTCGCAGAGGTTGGCACTCTAGAGAAGATTTTTCGGATGGTCTTCCTAGATGTGAACAACTGGATCAGTCTTTTGTTTCGACAAAAAAATCCTCCTCTCGTTCTAACCGGTTTTTGGTCTGACAGATGCCAAAATTTTTTTCACTGACTTCTATCTCGCCTGAAATTTCTTCAATGCTCTCTCTCTCCCAGTCCCTTCGCCTGCTGGCCACTATTGACAATATTTTGGACATGTTTATGGCAGCCGACAGTTTGAGAAGACAGAGACGGAAGGTACACTGCACGACCGTCCTTATAGTCGTACTATTTCTCAGTGTTCTGGGAATTCCGATGATTTGCCGCGTAAGTGGCTTTTTGGTGTTTATACTTTGTGTCGGCAGAGAGATTACTGAACGCTCGACATCCGTTTTCGTAAACTTTGTGTTTACTGTTTTTCTGGGTGTCTACCAATAATCACCCTTTTTGCAAGGAAGTATTGTGCTCGTTTAGGTATAATTATAGGACAAGGCTGACTTCACTAGGTAGAAAGAAGCGCCTTTATTCATTAAAATTTACTCTGATCCGTTTTAAAGGAAAATAAGGTTAGATGTCTAGGCATCTGCATAGAATGTCCCATCGTGCAGCTCCCATAGTTGTTTGTTCCAGACATTTCCGTGCAAAGCGTCCCTTATTGGATTTGCTATCCTATGCTCAGGAAGGCAAACCCACCTGCTTCGAGTAAGATTTTCAAAGCGCAATGACAGCAAATCCACAGACAACAGTCTACTTGGTGGAGGACAGTTGATGCCGCTTTCGGAACGGTGATTTGCAATACTTGTCGTTTCTATTACTCGGGCCGTTGTGTCGCAGGACACTCCTGGAACAAACATGCTTAACTGGTCCAAACCGCATGAAGCTACGAAGTGCTTCAGTTACCTGAGGGAGACTTAGTCATACACTGAAGAAGCCTTCATGTTCAGATTGAACCATACCGTATTACGTTTGCGATAGTCTGATGGATTGCTGCTTCAGGAACAGAATCGCCCACATAACTACGCCCACTCAACGTCTGAACGTGCGCAACCGATTACACATTTCAATACACGTCTGTTTTACGTTGCTCCCAACTGGAGGAGTTAGGACTAGCAAGCCGTAGCGGCAACATCTCCACAATCTATGTAAGCGCGTAGATATCCCGCACCGTCAACAAAATAAACTCGTGCCGTTTACAGTCGGGGCACTTTGGACATAATAATTTTGTTTGATAAACTTTTCTCCAATTCTCTAATTACTCTACAAAATAAAGTAGCCTATGAAGATTCAGTGTGCCGGTTGAGCAAACTACGTTAGAATATGGATTGGCTGTCAACAAGCTGATCAGAAATAAATTGCACGAATGCGCTGTGTCCGTCAATAGGTTTTTGTTCCACTCCTCCAGGCCATCGCCGGAATTCCAGGTAATCCTTGTGGTTGTTCTAACGCACAATGTTTCACAATCCTTCATCTGATATTTTCGAATACGATTGATTTTGATGTAAGGTCTTGGCTTCGTGTTTTGACTGCCAAGACTGAATACATGTATTGACTGCAAATGCTTCGATAGCCTACTCAAAGCTACTTCTGGTAAGGACGGAACTTTGAAGTCAGCCGGCTCACCAACTATTCAGTTAGCTAACTTATAGAAGCGCTTAAACTACATGAGATGCAGGTGAGCTAATGACCAATGAATACCCAGAGGGTAATCAAAGGCACTCGAGTTCTCCTTCTTTTGATACGGCAAGTTTCCTTCTTCCAAAATCTGAAAAGGTTTTCAATATCTTGGAATTTCGCATCACTCGTGAGTAATAAGCTAGGATTTACATGTTTCCGCACACCATGTTGTTTTGAGGAAACAACAAATGTTACGGTTGGCGGGTAGCGAATTAGGTGGTGGGAATAATCGCACAAGTTTATAAAATAGCAAATCGTCAATACGTTGCTTAATGATTTCTGCCAATGGGATTTCTAAACACAATTTACTCTGAGTTGGGCGAGTATTTCGATAACGCCTTCCTATTTGAGTAGTCTTCAGTGGATATAAACAGACGTAAAAAATTTCTGTTCGTTTCGAGGAAGGTTGTATACCATTCAACTACGGGAACCAATTTTGTGTCATCTAACAATTTACATGAGAGTACTGACCATTCGTCGCCCGACCAATCAGTTCTATTGGTAATCTTTCGTTGGATGTTCTTCATACGGCGTTTCCAACATAACCAACTAATCCACTTTTATGCAACCGTTACAGGTGTGTAATCACATCTGCCAGCTGAGACATTATCACAGACAAGTGCACATCATACAAGATGTGGTAGAATAATCCCACACCACCATGATTACATCCCTAACTAAAACATAAAAGTACTTTTGTTCGACTAATATGGTTGGAGTACATTGCAACTAGATGCGTGAATCGAGTCTGATTTGCTTCCCATGTTCACATAACTTTTATTGGGAAATGAGCGTTTACTTCCGAATAACAGACCTTCAGCCCACTTTAAGTGATCAGTCGACTGGCTTTTAGCGGGAACATTTTTCAAAGTGAATTGAAACTGATTATAAGCGATCTACACAAAATGTCAAAAGGGTCATTAGCATATTCGCTTTTATCATCACTGTCATCGTCAACATCACCATTATCGTCGTTACCATCAATAACGGTAACACTGGCTTCGAAAGGTAGAAAACACTAGTGTATTCTGTATTCCTGATTGTGTTACTTAGTTCCACTCTGTCGATTAATTTAGCCAAACTAAATAGCAGCTGTAAAATACCCGATGGTGAACAGAAAAAATCAATTTGTAAACGTCACAAACGACTTGGCTGATAACTGTTGGTTTGAGTCAAAAACAGTTTAATCCCCTCTGGTTTCAGTCTGGATTCTTCTGGATGCGACTGGTCGAAGCCTATGCGGAGCGATTAATAGTGGTACTTGCAACCATACAAGGTGTTGGTTTTCTCGTGGTTTACGGTGAGTGTACAGCTGGGTAATGTATGCCAATTGGTGAATTTCGTATGTAATCCTTAGGCAACGCTGTTCTATTAGCGGGAGATTATTAACCCTCGTTTGTTTTTTCGTGGGGCAAAGTCTGACAGACTCAAGGAGCTACACTTTGCAACTCGCGTGAGCTACTAGTTGGTGTCCATCGCTTACCTGAGATAACAATTCCTTGTGTTTGCTACCAGAAAGGCCAGTATGCAGGCGCACTTCCAGGATTCAAATCACCAGTTGGATGCAAAGTTACTTACCTTCTGAAGTATGGCTTCCATTGAATTAAGCTTCAATGGAGTGTCAACACTTGATCATGTAATGTGACTAGTGTATTTGAATGATGAGCAGCATTATATCTTTTCCAAGTGCAAGTTAATCAGTCGTTTGTGGTCGGAAGTGTTGACTTTTAACAGCTAACCTGGAGATCACAGGTTCAAATCCCCTTGAATTATCATGACGTCTGCACTGCTGACGATCCCAATTAGAATGAAGCAGATATATAGACGCTCGTCGGATTTTCCTGCATAGATTGACTTCCTCATAGGGCAAAAATTCAGCTAAAAATTTAGCGAACCCCAAACCATCAACAGATTGTGAATTGTTAAGCAGGTAAATCGGGGAGGATGCTGCTTAATGTAATTATTCGATTTGTAGAAGGTCAAAATTTTGTACTCATTCGGTCAAGTTTTTTCCAAATATTTTACGATTTCGACAGAAAGCTTAGGTGACGTTATCTTCTGTTATCGAGTTCTGACATATATGACCAGAGCAACAGAATTTTTCGGGAGATTTTCTCCACTTTTGGTATCTAGACCAGGGAAAGCAAAGTAAATCCTGATTCCTGTTGAAACATATCATCACAACTCAGCCAGGTCATTGCAAAAAAAATCCTTTTGGGATCAGGTAGAGGAACTTCAGAATCACACTGAATGCTGAAATTATCATGCAGACAAGGCATGATTTCAAAATAAAAGCCAGACATTTCTCGAGTATACCAGATGAAGTGATCCTAACATTGAACGTGACCACGTGAATGTGTATTTATAAATCTGTTTTCCCACTGCGGTGCTATTTTCAAAATGACCATAAGTATTGATTATATTGTGCACGGAGTTTATTAATGAACCAATGATACTTGTCTTGCTTCAGCATGAACACAGGGTTATTACTAGGTTCTTCGTATGGGTTGGGAACCATGATCTCAAAACACATCCACGTTTGCTTGACTTCGTCAGGTTGGAACGCATCACTTTCGTTAGGAGCTGACTACAAGTTGAGTGTTTAGAGCAATCAACATCATTGTCGATCAAGGACGTTTCGCCGCAATGTACGTGTGATACGAAATCATCGAATCGGAAATAAACATGGGGAACAACATCCGGTGTTGGACAAAAATGGTCAGCATACTCTTTTATAAACCACAGTAGGTCCTGAGGGACACTGTTTGCAGAGGTTGTGGTGGTTGTACGTATCAAGCAGTTACGAGAAACCAAATATCCACACCAGATTCTGATGGGTATAGTTTGTAACCGTGGATATATTCTGATTTCAGTATTAATAATTAATTCAATCGTGTATGTTCTATAAATTTCAAAGGAATTGGAAGGTATCCGGATATTTGAGCAAAAGGTGAACCAATATCGATATGTAGAAAGGTGGAGTTATCGATCAACCGAGAGTTCCTTCTTTGGCATCAACAGCATCAACCGCTGAGCCTTGAAACCTACGAAAATTGAGTTTAAAAACAAACCCTAACCAGGAATCACTGGCTTTCTGGGTGGAAGGGACCAGGGCTGCGTAGCGCTAGTAACCTAAGAAACTTACTCACTGCTACGCAGTAATTTGGGGCCATTATTGACATTTTCTATTCTGCTCATGATCACGCAGATAGTTCGATATTCCAGCCATTGTATGTCACCTAAAGGAATACCCACTGATCCAAAACTCAACACACCTGTTCAGCATATTTGCACCAGTGATTTCTTCACGACTGATGACGAAACATTGGTAACCAAATCATCAAGCTCGACAAAAAACCAAAAACAACATAAGCTGCAACGAATTAAAGCACCTGAGCCACCTGATCCACAACCAGTGTATTTGTTCAGCCGAACTTTTATCGATCGTCACTTGAACAAGCGATTTGGGAGTCGTTGTAAGTGGTTCAGGGCAAAAGGCAATGTCCAGGCGGGCATGCGAATATCACCAGATGGGCCTCGAGATGAGCGCAGATACGACAACATGGAAGGTTCACGTCTATCCTACTCGTGCGTCTCCATTGTCCTACAACTCATCCCCAAAGCTTACATCTCTAAATGAAGTCTCTATCTTCAAAGCACAGAACATGTCAGAACCCAGCAACTTTCCAAGCTTTTTGAAATACACACACATCAAGCTGTGTATAACCTATCATGCTTCCACAACTAACAAAGATCCACTGTTTTTGTTTTCGCTATTGAAGCTCGGACCGAAGCATCCGGATATGGACAAAAAGTGCGGTTGTTGATTGTAAACGTGGTTTACGGGCTCCTGTTCTCTCTTGCTGCGGTACGTTGAATAAGTCATTTTCTTCTTAATATGCTCAAACCCGTCTTTGGAAGCCCCCACGTGAACGTCCAAAAAGGGACTTAATCAGGGACAGACTATCAATGGTGGACTTGGTTTCCAGTAGTGTCTCCGGGGAGTCGTAAAACTGACATTACACCACTAATAGGTCAGCCCATGTTTTGACCACTGGAAGTATTCTTACACACTTTTTCTCACCTTTGCCCCGTGAACTCTATTTCTCTTTCTACATATAGTAATCGCCCCCCCCCCCCCCATCAAACCAGGTCTTCAATGAGGAGGGATTCTTTTAAGAGAATAACGATTCTGAGTGACAAATTCCTCGGTGTATTTCGATTTTCTGGATGGTAGAAAGCATTGATTGACCAAGGTTTTCACCCAGAACATGGTGAATGCGAAGAACACCAAAAAAATTGAATTTGTGGGACTGAAGTAAGAACTGTCATCGGATCGTGTCACCTAGGTCAAGAGAGTCATTTTGATATAAGAACCGAAAATGCAGATACATTCCAACTATCCACAAGGTTGCTGAAAACAACTGAGCAGAGAAGTTTCACTTATGAAAATATACTCCGGTTTTTCAAATATCGTACAAGTGGAACATGAGGCGGCCTTTGTGCAGTGCATTCGGTTGAAGAACATCAGAAACGCGGGATTCACTTGGGTCTCCTGTGAAAAGCAAATTAATTTGCAAAGGAGTGTATTTGTGGAAACGTATCGTTCAAGTTTCGGTGGAAAGAGTATAATGAATTCTGTTGTAAAACTCAAGTGATTTTGTGTGCTGGGTGCAACGGTTCTAAAGAGAAGTGTTTTATTCGGATGGTAGAAAGCCGAAAGTGCAAGATTTTAAAATGACGCTTGGCAATTACTCAGAAGCCTGCATGCATGTGGACTAAATTGTAAGTTGTATCCTTGGTGCCCGGCTGTAAGATTCTTCTACAGGAGTTTTATTAAACACAGTGAAATTATTTGACAATTTCCACAAGTAACGCGAAAGTCTTTCGCCGCGGAAGTGCGTATAAGTCTGACGGAGAAAAACAAATCAAAGTCCTCGACAAATAGTCTCAACTGCACACGAATTTAATTTTGAAGATGAATTCCACTGAATCCACCTAACTCACTGGTTTCATGAGGGTTACACTGTGAATTTGTCTGCCTCATGAGCTTCAAGAAATGTGAAACCGCTGATGGGCTGTCGTAGGGTTGTCAGCAACCTTATGACTAGTATATTACGTTTAAAAGACGAAGTGATGTTTCGTTGACAGGACACACAACTGAAAGGGTTGCTGAAAAATGCTTAACAGCTCTCGATTGGTTTTACCTTTCTTTGGACTAGACATTCAGGAGAGGTCCTCGAATTTCCTCAAATCTCACTTCCCATTTGAACATTAAAAGATCCTCAATTCGAAAAGAATATCATGAACAGGAAACCCTTCTCTGGTTATACTGAATCTCTCTTCAAAGCCAAATTGATTGGAAATTGAATGTAGTTTATGAAAGACAAGCCAGGTTGGCCTGAGGAATGCTTCACATCATTTCTGTGGGGATTTTCCGGCTATTTGAATGTCACAAGTCGTGGATACCTGAGCAAGATGATGCAAACATCGATTCGCCCTTGGTTCTTATGGTGTACACCGGAAATGTTCACTACGGTCTGATATCTTCTCGTTAAGGAACTTCCCCGATAAGCAGATACAACAGTAGGATTACACCTCAGCCTCATTGTTAACTCAGTAAATATATCTAAATCTTCAATTGTTGAAAACCACAATTTTTTCGAGTAATAAACTCATTTCAAATCAATTTGGTTTTCACGCGAGAATCAACTGGATTTCTCATTTATGACATTCTACAACTGAATGTGCTGCACACAGGCCGCCTCATGTTTCAGTTGGCACGATATTCGAGATATTGTAGTATATTTTCATAAGGGAAGCTACTCACAAGGCTGGTGAAAATTTTTCGACAGCCCACGACCGTTTCGCCCATCTTGGGGATCATCAGGTAGGCGCAGTCTCTGAGTTTCCTTCAGCCTTATGTTCTACTTGAATCCCTACTTGAACTCCTAATGACTGTCAGGAACTCTCCGCTGTTCAGTCAATTTTGTATTACAAATTTGTACGCCAGTCATTTCGTTTGTTTACCGGACAGATCGTCTATGCGTGGTATGCCGTAATCGCAACAAACACACCGACAGATTCACAGTGTCACACTTACAGTCAGGCGCCGAAAGACGATCCGCTAACGAACAATTTTCAATACCTCGGATGGTTGATTGCAGTTAGCCCGATAGCGCTGGGGCTGTTGTACACCATTGCGACGGTATTCAAAAGATCTCAGAAGGAAAATCGGAAAGTATGTCAAGTTTTATGCCTCGACAACCACCATTATTCCAATCAAATTGTGCTTGTATGTTTGATGTGAAATAATCGCGTTTGCACTTTGACTTCATAGGTAAACGCGGCATATTACACTCGTTTTTTGAATGTTATGAAACCCCACAGGCGGAGTGTAGGGCTGATAAACTCTTCCCATTCTACTCACAAGTTTCTCTTTCAGCGATACGTGATCCATATTCCAGATGGAAGATATAGTTTCGAGTGATACGGATGGTTTTGCAACTTGTTGGGTTCATCAAGTATTCCTATGCTCCGGGGCGACGAAGATGGCACTTCACTATTTAAACGGAAAAATTAATCAAGGTCTTGTTTCTCTGACGGTTTGCATTATACTCATGGGATTATCAGACTTCATTTTGAAAGAATCGAGTGATGCCTCACGGCCCAAAAGTTCAGTCGGTCACAGTGGACGTTGGCTGTCGTCACGTGTTACATCATGTGGCACTGTGTCTGGAGAAAAATGGAATCATACTCCTATACTGTCAACATGGGCAGCGCAGTCATTGCGTACGCCAACATTTCATTTCATCTTTTAGCACCCAATTGGTTCAAAACATTAGTGCTGCCTAAACTGTCTTGATTTTTCTTTTCGAAAACAGTGCTAGCTTGTTGTGGATTCAGGCCTCACAGCAACTAGAAGCAAAAGTATTTCGGTACATCACGAAGACTTACGAGGGCTTCCTTGCCTATTTCTCTTCGGCATGATTCACGCTATGAAATTTTCCGCAGTAATGTTCGTTTTTCCTTAAATATTCTCTACGCTTACAGGTCCACTACTGTGGACTGCGAATAATAAAGCATCAGCAGAGATGATAATCAAGAATGGTGACTGTTCAACTAGGGACATACACTGTAGGCAAGTTAGCTGGGATTTCGTCTAAATCGTAGCGAAAAGTTCACATGGCCGATGCCGTCCAGACCGACCATATGGTGCCGTACGAGGCTATTGAAACGGATATAAATAATCCCAACTTTTCAAAGTTATTTTATAGCTCTCCAAAACAAAACTAATGCACTGACTCATTTTCTGCCTCCTATTTCCCATAGTTTTGTGAAGTCATATGCAACGGTGATGCAAGAAGAAATGAACGGCGCTATGTGGAACGTCCGGCGTATTGTTCTGTTGCACAGGGCGATGGACTTCATGATGTAACTTACCAGTGGGGTGAATGATGTCTGGATTACACCGATATTGACTCCGTCCGTATGGTGTGCCAAAAAAAGAGAGACCCTGTTTACTAACTACGTATTTATTCAGTGAATTTTATCTGTTCTTAATAGTTGCATATGAATAATTTGGTACAAGAAAGCCTTCCCAGAAACTCCGTGTGATGGGCAAGGTTGGTTGGCACACAGCCGGCTGAAGTTCATATGGGAATCAATGCGCACAACTGAGAAAGGTCAAAGAACTACGTTACTAATCTCATTTCATACATATAGAATTCCATCTTTTGAATTTTCTCTTAAATGGCGAAAGTGATGTGAGGTAGAGCGCCCTACATTAGTCTGTGGGAACTTGGCCGAAATGACATTTCTGAATTCGTGGGATCGTCAAATGCTTTTGTTCTTGTCCACACAGAGCTTCTTATATTTTCGGACAAAATTATTAAATTATAGAAGTAGTCCGCTCGTCCTCACGCTCTTTTTCTTCACATTGGTGTCAGCATTTCCCACAACTTTAGTAATGGTGACATTGTGATCATATATAACCAAGTAAGCAAAGCTAGACTTCCTATTGCTTGTTTGTTTCAAGTGATTTGTTAAGAAGAGAATGCATGCTATTCTTATTAGCCGATTGCTCGTCCGAATCGATGCCATTACAGGACAGGTTCGCCCTGTATTATTAAACTGCGACGCAAAATCCTCTTGTGCTCTGTAACTTAACAGAGGTAAGTTGTGAAATAAGGGGGATAGTATAAGTAAAAAAGCTAAATCACAGCCTTTCGAGGTTCAGTTTTTTATGGTACCCCATTGGAGAGCTATTCCATCCATCAAAGACTGGTTAGTGCATGCATTCTGTCTCGTGTGAAATGCTGAGCTTCAAAAGTGGAAAGATAATTTTTCTTGTCGAGGGATAGTGAATTCTCAAATCTCTTTAAGATTCAAGGAAATGAGGAGCGTTAATTTTGTCTTTCATCGGTCACATGCTCGGGTCACATGACTCTACGAGGCAACGAAGGTAGATTACTGGTCGATGTTTTTCCCAGTGTTCATGTTCAGTAGGTTCAAACCACAGTGAGGCCAATCTGGTAATGGAAATAGTGGGCAATGTGACTGATATTTTTCATTCTGGGCTCACAGCCTAAAATAACTGTAGAAAATCATAGAATATCCACAGACTACTATGGTCTGTCACGTCATTTATCCGATTTTTTATGTTATTGCACAAGCAGACACGCAACAGCACAAGTGGGACAATGATGGCAAGGTCACACGGATGAATTCAGCGTTAAACAGTCTGGGTGATGCAGAACCACATACGCCTTAAATAACCCAGCGGAGATCTGTGCCAGAAAGTAAGACGGTATACAAACAATCGAAACGACAGACCGACAAAACCATATTTTGCGTTTAATACCAGGCTTTAGAAGATTGACAGTGACAAACTCTATTTGGGGTGGGATCAAAAGGAGGCAACCATATATGGAAATAACTGAATACACAAAGATAGTTTTATGAATGGATTTTGAAACTTCAATCGAGATTCAAGAAGTTATTCCTCACTGAAATCACAGCAGAGCTAGTTCACCCCAGTAGGGTACCGTCAGAACTGCGCACCTCACGAATAGCTTGGAAGATCCAAACCCCGACCTTCCTGTTAGTAGTTGAAAAGCGCGCCGTTAAGCTGATCAGCAGCGTGGCGAACTCGCGCTCAGTCTGAATGAAGCGCGACCCATCCACCACCCAGGCTGAGGGTTTGAACCGCCTTGGAGATTAGTATGCAGTGCGTTGGTGATGATCCCCAACAAGCATGTGCAGTTCTTCTAGGCCATTCGGAGTAGATGGATTTCACCCGAGGGGTAAAACGTCCGCTGAAATAAACCGCTGTTTCACTGATATTGCCTCTCCACTGAAAGGTTTTTACGAACCATACTAAGTGAAGGATTAATGGTCATGCGTTCGTCACCAGAAGGACCACGATAGAAAGTTTAGGGAGCCCTGATCTACAAACTGAAATGTAGCGCTTTCGAAACCATTTTTTGGTACAGAACTGGAGCCACCGAATAGATAAAACTGGCAAAGGAATGAGCACAGTCCTCTAACTGGTCTATGGCATGCGGTGCATGGTGACGTAAGTTCTATTCCTTCCTTTGGCGTTATTGGTCCTAGGTCCTACCTAGGCACTACAATTTCCTTTTTGCTTATTTTGGCACGTTCTTAGAGAGTTCACTTAATATAGCTTAAGACCACCGGCCCAGCTGGAATGCGCCCTCAAAGCAGTGGTCTGGGCACTTTACAACTGCATCGACTGCAAAATTTGAGCCGACCAGGCTACTTAGTGGTTCTCCAGTGGGAGCAATCTCGATGACAAAGCAGCAAGCGGAATTTCTTGGCCTACTGGAAAAAATATTGTTGGTTTAATCAGATGAGGACTGATCCTCATTACTTTTCATTGATTACCTGTTATTTCACTCTACTAATAACAAATGAATATTCATGACATGTGTGTTGGTACCACAAGACCAATTTCATTCCGTGAACCTCTAGGACGTCAGAATGGGAATGTTGCCGAACTCACCGACACCACTTCTTAAATAGTCGTACAGCTTGCAAGACTTTAGCTCATAAACTAAGGTGTACTCACAAATCTGAGCATATCAAGAAATGCCAGTTCACCGTCCATTACTCGGCCACCAGTCTAGGTAGAATCAGTCAGCTTAAACCAGTCAAGCGACACGATAGCATGGGGTGCCTGTTGTGCATCCGTTGCCGCATTTACGAATTATCTGTACTCATCGTTAGTACGCTTCTCACAAATAGTCAGGAAGATTCGAAATCTTAAGACAAAACTGTTCGGTGTGTTGAGAATTTGGAATTTCCAACTCAGATTTTGTCCTGTAAGTGAAGCCAACCCAGGCTGAAAAGCTGAGAAGCAGTGCACAACGGGCTCGTCCTCATTGTGACTTGTCAGCGATGGGCTTCTCGACATAAACTGATTTAGCAAAGTACATTCATTTCCGAGAGACCCACCTGGAACCCAGCTGAATCTCACGCTTTATGATGTTCTTCAACTGAATGTGCTGCACACAGGCGGCCTCATGTTTCAGTTGGTACGATATTCAAGATATCGTATCCTGAAGGAAGCTACTCACAAGTTTTCTCAAAACTCTTCGACAGCCCACGACAGGTTTCGTCCTTCTTGGGGCTTATCAGGTAGGCGCAGTCCCCGGGTTTCCGTCAATCTTATGTTCTACTTGAAACCGAATTGCACGAACTTAGCGAAGTACACTCATTCGCAAACAAATTTGGCTTTGCGAGAGACTCACCTGGAACGCAGCCGAATATTACGTTTGTGATGTTTCCAGGCAACTGAATGAGTCCCAAGAAGGGCTGTCGAAGAAATTTCAGCGGCCTCATGAATTACGAATACACCGGACGAAATGTCCAGAAATCCTTTAAGTCGAATGCTACCAACACACTGCAAGTAGTATTGGAGAAAGAAGAATTCAGGAGTTGCGTGAATCTTTGATTCATGAAGTTGTCACTCGGATAAAAGACAACACGTAGCGGGCACATTGAAGCCCGTGGCTGAATTGTTAGTAGCGTTACATCTAGTATAACTGCGAGTCAATAACACTGCTCGTCAGCCGGCTGTGACCGAACGGTTTGGTGTTCAAACTACCAGGTGGAAACCGACGGGTTCGAAACTCTCAATTTCCTGAGGTGTACACGGACAATGACTCCCAGTAAGGATTAAACGTCGAACTGTACCAATAGGCCTTCGCGCACAATGACTAAAGCCACGTGCTGTTTACAATGGGCTCTGTGTGCATCCATCCGAACGTCCTGACCCGATGTAAAAATGTAGGAATAAGTCCATAGTTTGAACTGGGGCATTTCTAAAGCTACCAGTATACCCATCTTTTGACAGTTAGTTGTCAGCTAGATTAGGTAAAATGAAACTTTGAGGTCCACAATACATGTGAAATGTGGCCTGGTGGTACGTACTGCTCATAAGAAGCATCCCGAACGTACAATTACGGTTAGCTGTGCAGCAGTTGCCATACAGAGTCAACTCTAGCAGGGCTAAATACTTCGTAATAGCCGGAGCATTAAAGTTGGGTCTGCAAATACAGATGCTGTCCGCTACGGACAGACCAAGGATCGGCAACAGTAACGAGCCGAACCCAGAATACGTCCCATGGCGTTCTGTAGTCACTCATGGTTCCAGTTGATTCGATCCACACGATGCTGTTTACTGAAAGTTACTGTGAGAAATACCGTGGGGTTAAAATTTCAAAACCATCATCGCATTAACGAATTTTTGTCACTAAAATTCATTTCTGGTACCTTTGCAGATCTAGATGTCCGGTAATTTCAGATATCTACATATCTGGTGAACTTATTCCATCCGCGATGTCTCATCGACCGATCATATATGCTTACCAGAAGAGATGACAAAGTATCAACAGACGGGGTGAAAAATGCAAAAATTGTTCAGCTGTATCGACCTTTCAGTTCCATTCCAAGCAGAGGGCTGGAATACTGCCAGATTGCTCAAGCCTAGACAGGGGAAGTCGAGAGGCAGAGGTCGCGTTCGAATCACGGACCATCCAATCAGTAAATTCGCACTCTAACCACTTGAACAATCTCGCCCTGAAAAATGTAACAGTTACTACTTGGTCCAGCCTTAAACGATGTAGACGGAGTCTGGGACGCGTCGCTAATTCAAATAGTGCCACATCGTGAATCACTCTCCTCACCCTAATCGATGTTTCTTCATTCCCCAACTAATTGTGGTATGGTTCCAAGCCCATGTTCGTCCAGCTGGGCATCTCATTCTATGGACGCTTCGCTCCGGGTCTCTTTAACAATCGGTCTACTGTTTGTGAGATCAATATAGGGGAAAGATTACGCTTAATCGGCCCTTATCCGGATCTAGCACCTGATGGCCGTAGTGACACTAGTGCATTAAATCTGATGGAGAGGATTATTCACGAACACTTCCACCAACCTCATGTTCACGTGAAACAACTGTCAGACCCAATATAACCAGGTGTTAGGTCCATTGAAACCCGTATACCGCCTTTTCCTAGCTATTCCGCAGCCGAACAACGGTGATTTGGCTCTTGAAATTTTACCGCTATGATTCATATTCCGATAAATCGAAAAAATCAACTAGCTTTTGTATATTCCAGATATTTGTGCGTACGACTGCAGTTAACACTGAGCATGGAAGTTCGATATGATTGGAGACTGAGTGTCAATTGCACCGCCGAACATCACTGTGGACTGCCAATCACTGAACGCCACCACCTAGGCTATCCAAACAACGGTATCTTCCTTAAAATGTCGCTTGAGTCGACTTACTCGCACCATTCTACGAGGACAAGCTTTAGAAAATACATCCAATTTTGCAAAGTCAAATGAGAGCGCCGTATTCCATGAGACTCAATTGCTTCGGGTTCTTCAAATGGTACCGAAACCTTTCGAATAGATGATTTCAGCGAGCTTCATTACTGTCTAGCTAACAAAATCAAGAGGTCCATACTCCACCCGTTGACGCCAAATGAAAGTTGAACCAGTGTGAATTACGGAGTGTACACACTGCTACTAACACGAATGAGGAGTAGGGGAACTAAAGAACCAGCAGCAAAACCAAAGAGAAGCGTTAGGAGATCCGGAGGGGTTTCAATGGAGATTTCGTCCTAAAAGTGGAGCCAACCCAAACTGAAAAGCCGAGTAGCACCGTATAACTGTTCCATTCCTACTGCGAATAGCTGATTTCGAACTGGCAACTTCTCAGCTAGATGTTCGAACACTTTCGGTCACTGGCGACTGAGCACCAATGAGTAACTTGCACTTATCCTCCAATTACGTAATCCACAGCACGTAGTAGCGTGTTGACCGGCCCCTAGAGTGACGACTTCCCAGATTGATGGTTCGCCCGCCGAATATATCATTTTTCCACCTGAGCTACTTAAAGATAATTAGTAGTGTAAGGAATTCTTGGAATCGGCTCCACTTACAGGATGAAATCTCCATTAAAAACGACATGTGATTGAGGAAAAGGAGCAGCTGAATTTATGGCACATTTTTTTTACACCTAAGAGTCTAGGACGCATACTCTGTTTACGCACACAACCTAGAGCTGAACGCAGATTAGCCTTAGCAAAAGCTATCATGTGGTATGTGTTCTAAAGTGATGAAATTTCGCCTTCTTCTTATGAAGTGCGGGAAAATAAAATATCTCTTTTCTAATGGTAGACATTCACTAATAGATTATGGAAAGCGCTTGCTGTTGGAGCAAACTCGTTGTATGTACGCTCTCGCTAGGCAACACATTCTTCTCAAAGCAGGTGATGCCACCATGACAAAGATGGACACCTCTTTTCTAATGGTAGACATTCACTAATAGATTATGGAAAGCGCTTGCTGTTGGAGCAAACTCGTTGTATGTACGCTCTCGCTAGGCAACACATTCTTCTCAAAGCAGGTGATGCCACCATGACAAAGATGGACAACAACCTTAAGCATTGTAAAGCAATGATCTACAACAGCTTAGCGAAACACTTTCGGAATGCCACTGGAATGCATTAAAAAATAAATTGGATCCTGCGTTCGCGTCAGTCTAGTTTGACGAACCGAGGTTTCCGGAAAATGAACCTGAATATCAATCAGGCTAGTCTTGCTATTGAAATAGACATAACGAAACAAGTATACTGGGGCAATGGCTCTGATTGTGAACCAAGTTTCCGTAAACAGCAGCCGGAGAAATTGAGAGACACTGACATAGAAGACGATTCTGAACTCCCTGGGGGAAATGTTGCTGGGACGACTCAAGTCATGTATCTAGTAGATAGATGACTCGCAACTTTTCAGTCAATTTTGCACTGACTAGATGCAAATCACCATGTTTCGGTTCAGTACAAAAAGTGACTGAGCAGCCTCTCGAATTTGGGGACAAATAGAAGATGTTTCCTCAAATGTTTGATGGAACTGTTTTCCATTATATGGCACCTTAAAAATGAGTTCTTGTTGAGTCCAATTATTCTTCCGAATTACATTTACCAAGATCCAAAATACTGATGATTGCACTTCAACTTATTTCCCGGGACAGATTCTGACCGGTCACAATAACTGAAGGCGGCGTATGATGTGAAACAAACTGACGCGTCTTTTCGACATCAAGTCGAAGAGGAAAGGTGCAAAATCCGTGGGACGTGAGCAGACCAGTCATGCGGTTTTCGTCAGACTAAGGAAGCAAATTAGTTGTCAGTTCTTCGAGGTGATAAGATTGGCTAGTCGAGTGCGGAATAGTACTCGGCGCGGGTTCCGATAGGGCGAGCTGGGGTGATCGTCACGTCTTCCTCCTGTCCAGCCAGATCTTTTGGTAGAAACCGATAACATCCAGGGGAAGCACTCAAGTTACCGCCAATGCCGCAGTAGTATAAGAATCGCATTTCAGTATAATCAATACATATCACTTATGACCACTCTTTTCCACAACTCACCCCACACATCTGCGCAGTGTCTGATTTGCGGAAATTTCGTCCGTTTCGCCCAGAACTGGACAAATGCGCCGTATCCTATCTCAGCGCAAGTTAATCATGCACCCGATAGGGTCCTCATGACCGAAGGACATGATGTTTGATCATTAACTGAAAGGTCGAGATTACCAAGCACCCCAGAGGATCTTGGGATACGTAATTCTGATTATTCAAAGAAAGAATAAGATAGTCCGACGATGCATTTCACTTCGCCAGCATAGATCAACTTCACATGTGGCATGATATCCCGGTTGGAACACAAAACACAGAAATTTCTAAACGAACGGCTCTTAATATTTGTTTACCTGATTGTCATCTACATGCTCACGAGCAGTTAGACTTTCCTCTGCCTGGTGTGTCTGATACTTTAGCTAGCCGCGATGGGCTTTGATAATTAGCAAAGCACCAGTGGATTTTCTGTCAATGTGCTTGGATCTTATTCGCACACGGTGGGTGACAATGGTAAGTACACATAAACCGTGTTAAATCTTAGGACCTGCCTTTACTATAATCTGGTACATACTGCTCGAATCGAAGTTACGGAGCACTTGCTTTCTTCATAAAAAACCGGTACAGACTGTGGATCAAACGATTCCATCGTTGACAGGCGACTGGGGTATTTGTGGCCGGTAGTCTGTGAAGTTGATTTCGCGTCCATCTTTTTTCAGGCAGAATACAAACGTTTGAAACACACAATCAGCAGATTTCACGTCATTTTTATTGTCGCCAGCCGGCCGAAATGAAGACCAAATTTTTCGTGCTTAGCTTGACGAAAACCGCATGACTGGCCTACTTAGGTCCCACGCCTTTTGCACCTGTCCTCCTCGGCAAGGTGTCGAAAACAAACGTGTTGGTCGCCTAACATGTTCGCGTCAGTTATCCGGTGACACTCGACTGAAAATGAAGTAAACTCTTGCTTTCAGTGAACATGCGATGCACGCAAACCCCAGCTAACCTAAAAGTATCCAGCAGAGCTACATACTCCCTTTAAGTGGAAAAGGCGCGCGCGTATGTCTCTGCAGTATTCGTTGGGTAACCCGATGGAGGAGCGTATGGCTCGGATTCCCGAAAAAGAAAAACACTGTTGCGCACTCTTCAGAACATCCTAATTTCATATCAAGAGACGATAAAAGTGCCATAGGGATACTTTAACAGTGACCTCGACACACGTTGAAGTTGGTCCCAAGACACCCACGGATAATAGTCGAACGGTCTGATGCGGTCCTGGGGGATTTCCAGGCGAGAAATCAGAAAAAATGAAACATCGTAGCAATCAGGTATGCTAAATGGGGGGATTCGGTCGAAATGTAGGACACTGAATACCCCTAAAAATGAATCACTTTCGAGAAGTAACTAAGGCGTAAAATGACTTTTAGATGGAAATACCGAGCCTGGTCAATCACGGAGCTGGCAAGTTTTCTGACCGGCAACCCCGCGCAGAAAATGTGGGTTCCTGATGATGAGTGCTCATTTGCTTCACCTTATTTCTCCGTGGCCCTAATAACAACTCAACTATAATCCGCATATCTGACACCAAAAAGTCAGGACGTGTAACTACGTGCCGCTGGTATTGTGGTAACGAATTGGAAGCTACTTGTCAACAACTGAGCACCTCTTATTGCGAGTAAGGGGACCGGAAAAAGTTTCTTGCTCAGCAATAGCTGACAAGAATAATCCCCAGTCGTGACAAATTCCGAAACATCGGAGGTGATTCTACCTCATGAGTTGGAGGTTACTTGTAGCGGACAGGCATCCCTAATGGTATTTTGGAGGATAGTATTACAGGTCTGCGCAACTACTTCAGTCTGCGTCATAACAGTGCCAAGAATGGTTCGTAAAAGCAATTCACAAGACTAAAAAAGCCCAAGTGGGAAAGAATGAAATGGAATCGGGAACAATTTTGTGAACGTATCGTAAATCAGTTGCAAATTATCGAACAACAAGACAAGATATTAAGGTTGAGATTGTCGACGTGAGGCTTAAATACACATAAGTATATACAAGACAGAAAGATAGGAAAACCAGAGAAAGCTACCAGAGAACTTGCGCAGCACCAACCAATCGACCCTTGGAACCTATGCCGAACTTGCTGCATGATCCTCATGGTTCCAAATTACCAAGTAGCTCAACTGGCTCACAAGTTACAAGGAAAATAATGAAGAACGCTGTGAAATGATAATATCTCGTATGAAAGAAAGAGACAACAACAACTTTGACGAGGTCCGATTATCGGAAAATGCGGAATAAATGCTGCCAGCAGCTGAAATGTAACCGACCCGAACTGGTCAACAGTCACAGCCAATGAACGTGTTTTGTACCCCTTAAAATTCGCCAAGATAGAGCATCCAAAAAGAAAACGAAAAAGTTCAGTTGTGCTTCAAACGCGAATTAATAAACGGTAATAACAATGGCCAAAGTGAAAAACGATAGCCAGCAGTGGGAGGACACTGGGTGCTAAAATAGTGTGAAGGAAGATAGAATAATGGAGTGCATAACGTGATGACGCCTTGTTCGAGAGGAAATAAACTCAGAAATCGTTGTTATGGACGGAGAGGAACAGGACAGAAAAAACGACTCCTTCAAATCAGAACACGAATACCTGAATAGGTCTGAATAAATTTGGGGGAATGCGTGAAGACGGCTGTGTACCAAAGATACAAGCAGCCATGAACCGGATCGTACGTTGTTTCACCAAGGACTGTTAGATAACGCCGCTCAGACCACATGGGTTGTTGAGTCAAACACCTGTGAAGAAAAAGCATAACGTGAATTTCAAGATACTGTAAAAGAAACTTCATAAAATGCGTCAACTAGACTCTATGAAGTTCACAAGTATTTTAGCTGTCCAAAAATCGCAGGGATAATGCAGTGAGTCGGGAGGGGGGAGTTTCAAGGGAAGGATGAATCCCATATATTTACAGACTCAGAGAAGCACAGTATCGACTGCGAGTTCCCTTCAATTTGCGTATACACCAAGTGGTACTTGTCTTAACCACCTTGTAATAATCACTGACGACTTTCTAACCACCTCCGTACACTTTGCACACCAATATCAGAGAGCAGCACTCATGAATTACCGGGTGGCACGACAAGACGATCGGTCGCAGTTTTCTTTAAATTCCCGCTGTTATCTGACAGCACGCACTTCAAGAAGTAAAGGATAGTTCGGACGCTGGAGACGCGGGTGTTGAATCACTCTTCAAAACCTAATAACCTTTTACATACATACAGTTTATTTCCCCGTATCAGTCAAGCATGGTAAATGGGAGCACCAGTCCAGGTTAGTGTAAATGGACGGAACTAAGTTAGAAAGAAAAAGGCGCTCACAACAGTATCCTGCGTTTCAGCTTCACAGGAGATGTGATCTAGTGGAGGCACAGACGACGCAACCACGAGACAAAAATCTTGACTACCGTTCGTCTGGGCTTTATTCATAGGTGCTGTTGAGGTAAACACAGGAGTCTTAGTGTCCAGTTCTGTTCCAGTGTTATCGTAGACAACGGAACAACGGTCCACAGGGTAGCCCTCAGAATTCACTGTGACGGGTACCGTAATCTCGTTGAACTGCGAGGAGAATTTCGATGCGTCCAAGTCAATCACTTCAATAGTTTCTGGCAATTCGGCAATCGCCGTATGCGATGTGGTGTAACCCGGGAAGATCGATGTCACAAGTCGGCTAACGTACGGTGAATCACTATTTGACAGTGTTCGATCTTCATAGGCTGTGAAAAGAAAGTGCACATGAAGGGAATCACTCAAAAAAAGATATTGTGCTGTCTTGGAGTAGTTCAACAACACAAATGAGGATAATGGAAGTATTTGCTCTTCTTCATATAACACAGTTTAAAGTCCAAGTAATGACGTATAATCATGGTATGGAGAGGCTGGTTAGATCCGCACTTTGTAGACTACACTGAGCGGCGTGTCTAAGCCAGCGGTATGAAGACAGTAGACAATTGGGTATGTGAAACGAAAGTTTGAAGTATGCCAAATTAATATTACAACCAAATGTGAGTTCCCATGTATAAAGATTGGAAATTAGCATGTTCTTTAAAAATAGGCTTCCACGTCGACCGAAGAGGCTTCATTACTTACAAAACCTCGCCCAGCAGCAATTGAACACTGGAATATTTCATAAAGTCTTACTAGGCACACCATACAACTAGCAAACGTTCAAAAAACGGCGTGTAAATAAAATCATCAAAGGGCGAAAAGCTACATTAATAGATTGTTTTTTCTTGGTTGATTTTCTTTCCCCATGGGGAGAGCCAGAGCCTGCATAAGTGAAATCGTTTTGAAGCTTCTGTTTCGGGTCACCCAATTCTGAGTAGCTGCACCATTGGCAGAAGCTAGGTGCAGTTCGAAATGCACATCATCACCCAAAGTTCAATGGATTTGTGAAATGCTTGGGCTGATAAACCAGCATTTGTTGTTTGAGTGCGCCTCAGTGCGTTCTCGGACAAGAAATTCGTAGCGATATGAACAAAGCTTGCAGTTCATTGTAATGATAGGATTTTTAGTGGCGGCACTTGTTTCCGCAGATCACATAGGAATATTACCAGTCCCATTTGAACGCCATGTGGTACGAAGCTCTCATGTTCACGGAGGCAGGTGGGTTAGGAGTAAACAAATCCAACGATTGAACAAGTTTCCAAAGTAGCGACTATACAGTTACACAGATGACAGCTGCATGGGTTCCGGCTACGGATTGCAAGCAGAGCCATTCAAAATGGACTACAGGAACAAGAACGCAGATGAAGGTTTTTGTCACCGAATTGATTTTTTTAAATTGTCCTTTCTTTTGAGCGAGACAAGTGCGCAAATCATGTGCAATTAGTGATCCAAAGCACCATCCATTAGGACGCAGAGTTATGCTTCACCTTTCGGCAAACTAAGTACAGATTTGATGGGTCAACATCCTAATGGTGCTCAAAATAGTCACGAAAATTCGCATCCTCAGTCGTTCCCAATCGGGAGTTTTTAACATTAGGTGATTTTGGATATAGATAATTTCCACAGCACACCTCACGATCGAATACATATATATATATATATATACCTCGCGCGAGAATATATATATATATATATATATATATATATATATATATATATAACGCACCCAAAATTGAGCTTGCAGCACTGAGTGAATCAGTTTTGAATGAAACATGCTAGGTGGCAATCTACCAGCAATGGACCCGCTCGGGGATCAAGTACACTGGCTAACTATCGACTATTAAATAATCTCAGATGACGAAGCAATGACAACGAGTAGGGCAAGTTGACTGTTTTTCCTGACACCGAAGTGGTCAATCATGGAAATGTAAGCCAATAGGTGTTCTTCCTTGCTGAGGTCGACCTTCCCTGAGGTTCATGTACAAAGTTTGTACACTTGAACCCAAAACTAAGAGATCACCGTCCTCGTTTGTGTCCACGAAGAATATGAACTCGGGTTTAGCACTTGCTTGAAGTCCTTTTAAAAACGCGATCAAAATTACGGGAATAAGATACGGAGCAGGTGTGACCATCCACCATAGTCAGATTACACCTCCACCAGACAGTCGGAAAAACAAAACCGATATACAGGAGGACGGTTTTTCACATTTGGATTGTAAGAATGCCAAATATGAACCTTTTGCTTCGATATATGAATGGTTGCACTACGCTCTACTGAAAAAATCTCCGCTAACCAAACTCTAGAGAAAAAATGTCGGATGTACAAATTTTTTATCACGAAGAACCAGACCAGTGATAAACGCCGGAATGTATCAAATAGAGCATACCGACAGAGCCATTTTCAGGAGCATGTTCAATCGTAGTGTCCGGGTTTTGTGAAGTTTCCGTAACGAGAGAAGCTCGATGAGAGTCACCTGGGTCAGTAGTCGAGGTAAGGGAATTCGCGCTACTGGTACTGGTATTTTGAAAAGGTTGCGGGTTCGCAGGTGTTGCGTCGGATACCCAAGCGATTGTCGGATGAGAGTAATGTGTATAGTAGTTCTCCGGTGAGCTGACAGTGAACGAGCCATTCGACTGGTCCACATTGTCCACAACTACATTCGGTAAGCACTCCACCGGGGTAGCAAGGTAGTAGAGTGTGGTTTGACCGTCCGGTCCAAGGACTGGATACAGCCGTACAGGTTGTTGTGCAACAGTTGTATTGGTAGGAAGGACAGCATTCGACTGGATATATTCAGGGTTTCCAAATGAAAGAGCCTCACCGGTGTCGGACTGAGAAGTGACGGTAAATTGTGTGGTTGTTGTGTCGCCAGCAAGTTGTTCAGGTTGCTGCCATACGGACGGATATATTTGTATGCCAGGCACACCTGAAGGAAGCTATAAGCAGAACAAAAGAGTTTAGGTAAGGCATACAGGTCTCTCACGATTGATCAGAATATAGGATAATTGGGAAGTCGAGAAACCCATGGATGATCCCAGAATTCGATCTCCCGAAACAGCTCACTTTCAGTCCTTTTGAACCGAGCACGAAGGCTTTCGGTCGTGGTATGACTACAGGTACCAATTTATGCACCACACTATGCAAATGACGAGATAGTGGAAGGTTGTACAGTGCGCAAGTCTCACAGCGTCAAACAGCAAGAGATCATTGGGTGTTACTTGTAGGTTACATGTTACAAATGTGAAGTTATGCCAACCTGCGAAGACCTCAAAAGAGCTTAGCAGGTTTAGCATGCTGGGTTGGGAACAAATCAGCTAGTTTTAGGCGCGTTTTGTAACAACCGCGCTATACAAGGACAATTCAAACGGAGTTTTTTCCGTATGTAGGGTGAAGTTGAAGGAATTGGTTAAAAGTGGACATTCCTTGGAAGGATTTAAGAAGAAAGGACGACGGTTTGCTAAAATGAAGGATAGTCATGCCTGAATAAATCATACTGTCCACGTCCACTCCCTGTGCGTTCATATTCCGGATCCAGTCAAGCACTCAATGTGTCGCTTTTATGTACTTCTTGATTCTCTCCTTCTCTTGTACTTTTGTGGGTTTGAAGGCATCCCCAAGCTAGTAATAATAATAATAATAATAATAATAATAATAATAATAATAATAATAATCGTTTAGCTGTAACGCCCCTTTGGCGCAAAGATGTCATGCCATTCGAAGGAAGCATGAAGTCTGAGAAACTGCTAGGTTGCTTAAGCCTAAACGAAAGCAGTCAAGGAGCCGAATTCGAACCATGGAGCTTTCGATCAGTAAGTTCTCGTCTTGACCACTGAACGATACGATAGACTGAAACAGGACTGAACTTTGGCAGATTTTCCGTAGCCGGAATTTCGTATTACTTCGTACAAACAAAGAAAGGTTCTGAAAATTCAACGCATTGGCGAATAAACGGGATTGTTGGTAAAGTATGGTGAATGAAAATTTGATCAGCCCGTCTACGGCCAGAGTTTTCTCAAGTGTGATGTTAAGGAACACAAGCGACAGTTCCGTGAAGCATTGAAGCCACCACAGGCTGAGGTAGGCCCATTTCGTATCGGCTATATGCAAAGTCACGCACCTCGAAAATGTTACCCATAAACCTCATATACTGCATTTTTAGAAAAACTAAAATACTATAAACTAGCAATATCAGTAAAAAGATAATGGGCTTTTCACGGCTATCAGCATTCGAAGATGTTTGGTGGAGAGAACTCAACTCCAGAAATATGCCCGTTCAAACAGAAAGTGGTGCATATCAGCAATGCCGGAATATTTAAGCAGACTAATATTTGTTTTTAAAAGAACCCTTTCCGAGGAGGGAAACTACTTCGCAATACGAAATTTCAAAACATGGGACTGAGTCGCGTTCAACTGAAACCCAGCAGAAGTGCATTTATCGCTCTGATAAGTTGGGGAATGCGGCAGAAGCCTTCGAAAAGTATGCGTGTGTGTAAGGAGATACGACCTGAAAAAAGGCATGTGGATAATAGGAGTTTCACCGAAAAGCATCAACTAAACACAGTTACCGAATAGACTGCAGCAGGTGCAGTAGTAGACGCATCATCGTTTCCATCTGCATCTGAACCAGTAGGGTGATTCTCTGTAGTAGAACCGGGACATGCTCCAGCCGGAAGTTGGGATACAAAGGCAGCTGCAACTGTAAGGACATGAGCTGGCTTTGCACTAACGGAAACCTCCTCAGTTCGGGTTACTGAATCCAAGTCACAATAGGAGACAGCATATTGCCCATGCTGTGCATCAAGCGCAACCAGGTTGGGAAGTACAGTGGATGAAGTGACATACATGGTGGGATTCTGATTGCCAATCGCGGTTAGATCTGACGTCTCAGACAACCTAGTTCCCCGCACCAGAGTATCACGAAGCATCGGAGTTAGGATATCACTACGACTGTCACGGTTCAAAGAGGAGCGGTCAGTTCGATGGGTTCGCCGGGTTCGTCGAGGGCGATTTATAGTAATTGGTTTCGGGGCATCTGTTACACCACTACGCGAAGGTCGGGGCTAGTAAATCACAGACAAGAAATTGAAAATGTGAAGATGAAAGATGTGGTACTCGTAGAATACGACACCAAATATACGTAGTATGAATGAAAGGATAGGCCTCATTAGGACCCCAAACCATGGACATCCTACTCACGGGGAAGAAGCTGTGTCGAGCCATGGAGTGCGCTAACGCTGGCATACCAATGAACTTAAAATTATCCAGTGATTTCTGATAATCCTAGTTACATATAACCAGTTAGTGAGCCCGCCGTGCGAATCTCACAAAAAAAAACAAAAGTTGATATCGTCAATATATCATGAGGGATTTGATGTAACATGGGGAGACGTATACAGGGACTTGACAAAACTTGAAAATGAGACATAATCAAAGCTTGCAGTTGACTCAGAGGAAACAACTAGTCCATAGAGTAGCTTGTCCGTCTAATAAACTTCTAATCGCCAATGAGATTACACTTTCAAATAATGGCAAAATGGTCTTATCCTCATCATCATAAGTAATACGTACCACATCTCATATAACTGGAATGAGATGAGATCAGTTCAACCGCCGGCGATTTCAGATGTACATATTTGATTTGAAGCATGCGGAGTCGGAACACTTCCATACTACGAAGTTGCTCAGCTTTGGCTGTTGTCATCATGCAGATATATACATATTTCTGCATGTGCCCCGACTATAACAGTCTATTACAAGGGCTCATTGTGTCCTATGAGTTGGAGGTAGAGCGTGATACATAATCAGGTGAGAACGCACGACTTCAAGTTGAACTATTGCTAGAGGAAGAGATGGTTAAAAACGGAGAAATTTGAGGCTTAAAAGTTGTCAGAAAACACAGCTGTGCGCAGGTTCGCAATCTTATAAGGTTGGCGGAGGGATACCGTCTCTTTTGATGGCCACGGATTTGAGCTGAGTAAAAGGGGATGTCAGTGACAAGTGAGAATCCATGGAATTCGTTTAATGACGGTGTGACCTGTACTGACCAGTTAGTGACTTCGTATAGCTATTTGATTACTTATGAGTAGTCAAGCTACACATCCTTTTACGGCACACCACCCATACACTGATACCGGATCCGCTCACCTACTGGGTGCGTAATACTAGGCTTAGTCAGTCCCGATTATTTAACCCGAACAGCACACACACGTGGAATTAGATTGGCGAGCGGACTAGGGGTGAGGAAACAGGCATTCAATACACAGCGTAAACAATCGCCTAAAGGAATGGCCACAAAAGATATGGGCAATTTGTACTGGTCCACTCTCACACGAGACTTAGTAATTACCAAGTTTCGAGTCCATAATTTGGCGAGATGTTAATCAATCCCTAAAAATTGCAGGTGAGAAAATTTTTTAGCCTGCATTGCAATCAGTCGACAGGGTATAGAGACTTATTCCAAGCTACTCAACACATACTTCATTTGACTCCCAGTTCAGTTCCGAGTCTGCAGCTTAGTAATTATCAGGTCCGACGTGAAGGTCAGCGACAGGCAGGAGTCGAAGTACGATTCCTGGAATTTGTTATGCACCATTAATCATTATCGAACGTGCCAGCAAATAATGAGCGCGTCATAGAAAAAATGAAATAAGTGAAAAAACCATCATTAATGAGTTTTCTCATCAGGCACAGCAGTATTATCCCCTGATTAAGTATAGGGTACCAATGTAATGGCAATCTACAAAACTGGAGCGCTGGTCGCGCTCTACAGACAAATGCGCCGAAACCTACGAAGATAGTTTGTGACCCGGAATACTCAGTGACAAACACAAGGTCTACTAACATGTGAATTTAAAACTGTGAACAAGGAGCCCTCAACTACGTAAACGGTACGGTTACCTGATAAGCCAAAGCTGTCAAGAGGCAACGGTGAAAATGCCCGAGAAAAGCGTCCCAAGAGACAGTCGAGGTTGCAACTCGACTGAATATCTGGATGGCGCCATCGTGGCGTACAACAACACAGACAGCAAAAGCATGCATTTCAGGACTCATCAGCCAAATGATCACAAGTCTCTATTTTTCTTATATCCAATACGAATCCGCATGTTGAAGATCCATCTCACAGGGTGCATAAAATTGCTGTATACCCGAAGCAATAAGTATCGCGAATTAAGCCACTAAGGTCACATCCATCGACCTCAATAGGGCAAGATTGCATGCAACATGCAAGAGGTTGCTAACGCCTGCTGAGTTGCTATGAATCAAAAGCTTCCATGAAATAGGAAAAAACCAGGTCATATCATTGTACTGAGGGGTCATGTAAAACCCGACACCTCTTACCAAAATGGTCCGATAACGGATTTCCTGGCGAAGTTCAGTAGGACCTGGTTCCTCAAACATGTTTGGCGTAGGTATGGGTTTGTTCTCCTTGCAGCGACCTAGTTGATCCTCTGAAAAGAAAACGGAACTGAACAAAGTAGGCAAACTGCAAGGTATATTAGGTAACAGAGTGTTGTGAGATATGGTTGAATGAAAATGGTTGGCTTCACAGATCAATCGTTTCAAAATTGGGAATATAACATATCCGGTTCGGTTTAGGTGCATGGGTTGGGCGGAACTGCACAACGATTAAAAAACAAATAGTGGACAAGTGGCAAAAGCCAAACGCGAGTAAGTTCAGGGAATCACATCTCAGCTACTGGAAACAATCACATTAAGTGTACCGAAAATAGCTAGTTTCTATACCTAGGGGACTAAATGGTAATGCCTTGTCTCCAGTAGAATTCACAACGTAAAACTACGGACCTTGATTTGTATAGGGCCGACTAAGTGGATGTAGCCTTCAAAATTCAAAGTTTGGATTTTCACATGAAATGGTTAAGAACAGAGGTACCAAAGAACTACATTCTGCGGAAGAAGAAGAAGGAAGCACAAGCAACTCAAGTGTTGTACAACGTAGAAAAGACAAGATGAGAAATGTCGATGGCTCTAAGAGCGTCCAATTACAGCATGTAAGTCACGACGTTTATTAACTCACACCGGACTTTAGACAGCTATGCGAAAGCAGGAATACCTGAGATTCCAAGCTTGATCTGAAACCACACTTGATCGCAGTGATAAACGAAGAGTATAGGCGAACAAAAAGCTATACAGAGATGTGAACAATATTCAGATCGTAGCGACGTGACATCTAACCAAGTCCCACAGCGAACTTTGAAGAGATTTCACGGAATGTCTAAGTACTCAGATTGGGCGCGTTGAAATTGAATAAAATATGATGAAGTGAGGCGGTACGACAGGGCACTTGTGACAGTGCGAGGTTTGTACACAAGAGGCCGCTTTCTGAGAATAGTCCCAGTTTTCTGTACATATCCATTGAAAATCGCTCACCGACAACTGCGTTCGACACCTAGGTTTCCCCGAACGAAGTAACATCTGTCGGAGTATTGGGTGGCATGAGCATATCAAAGATAATTCGAGGTTGAAAATGAACGCGAAAATCAAAGACAAGGGTTTAATACTTAAACGGAACGGTCGAGGCGTAGCAGTCGTGCGGGAAAGCTCAATTCCTACAAAGTAACCATGCTCCAGAACAACAGCAAAATCTGGAATGGCAATATCTATGAAGTGAGCTGCAATAATAGACCCTCCACTTGCTGAATTCCACGCATCTAGTAACAAGAGCACCCGAAATTATCCGCCAGTTTGTAATGCAGCACCAATCGTTAACTTGTCATGTTCTAGTGCGGGAGAGAGCAGGCGAAGCTAACTCACCCAAGGTCTGGAGCCATCCAGCAGGCCGCTTCTTACGACCTCTAGGATTTGGCAGCACATGGTCAAACTCGCTTGCCCGACGTTTCCGGGGGTGGGATGTACGGTGCGGTTTACCAGTAGAACTGTCGTCACTATCTGAATTCATGTCATCAGTTAGTTCGAAATCCTTATCGTCCGCATTGTCCAGATAGGTTGGTTCCGGCACAATCCCGTGGATGGCGACTGTGTGGCGTTTGAGAGAATTCATTTGTACAAAACTAACAGAGCACAGAGCACATTTGAACTTTTTTTCACCGTTATGACAGCGGGCGTGAAGCTATTGGATGAGAAAGGGTACGGAGAAAAGATCAGCTTCACCTACCGAAAGACCACTAGGGATACAAAACTAGAAAACAGAACAACATGGGGAAGAAAAACAACGCAACGAAGATGTCACACTTACATGAGATTCAACAAGAGACGACAGTGTGAGAACTTAAGATTTACAAAACGCTCTCCTGTAAACTAGATAGAGTGAAAATCGAACAAGATGTTGTCTGTTGAAAAACGTTCGCGGTAAGACGTGACCTGGTTCAAATCAGTTAGAATGAACAACGGAAACAAATGGGTATGTCAGGAGGCTATGGGTAATCAATTTTGCGTAGATCCTCCGCTCTGTAGCCAGAACTGTGGAGTGCGGACCGTCAGATAGACTGGAACCCGTAACCTTTGTAACAGGAAAAATCCTACTTTGACCGATGGATAACAAGTCAAAATCGTGACACTCGAAAAAAGCGGATGCAACAAGAAATCGAATTCTGGACCAACTTGCAGTTTCTACTGTACCCGAGTGGCAAACTTCACGGCCTAATTCTTCAGTGAACACAAAAGTTGCAGTTTGAGTTGAGTTACTACAGCCATTTCAGTGTACATTGATTGAGACTATTCTTCTTCCATGATTAACAGCTGAAATTTCTCAACGCATTACACGGGTCCTACAATTCAATCAGAATGCAGTCCACCAAATATTCATCAAGCACTGTGAATTCCAAACTTTCAGACAGTTTCAGGAGACAAAGGGACAGAAAACCTTTCACCTGGTCAGCGGGTCATAAGAATTTACTGTAAATGTGATTGTCACGTGATCGGCCAATACAGAAACTGATTATTTCCAGCCACATTTTACACATTAGCATCTACTCGCGGCCGCAACATCAGCTCACGCAAGCCGAGTCTTTGCACTCAGGAACCGTTTGCACGGTCTGACCAACTAGGTATATTGGTCAGGAGGAGTTTTTAGAACTTAGTTTAGTAACTTCTTAAGTCCAATCACCCGGACTTCTGTTGAGCTTATCAAAAACGTGTTTTGCACTGATCTGAGAAGGATATCACATTCATCCTGAGAAGAATGATACAAAATGTGAAAAATAGGATCTCAAACAGTCCGCAACCGACATTTTCGTCTGTACACAGCACATGCGGAACCACATCATACTCTTTAATACACATGAGTAAACAGAACAGTTGCTGAGTTGCGTCCTCAAGGATAGATTTGCAATGATTAAGCTCCGAGAAGAAAGGAACAACTTTATGCAGATGGCATAGGCAAATCTGGTACTCCGTGGTTTCCTTTGGTGGGATTTTCATTAAAACCTGCCTCGAAATGTGGTTAGTCCTAGGTGCGATCTGAGAAATGGTATCTCCCGAGTCCGAAGCTTTGATGGAGGCTTCAAAGAGCCACTCTTCAGGGGGATATACCTGCGTAAGTTTGGATAGTAAGTGCAAAACAGCTGGCGTCCGCCAGCCCTTTTGTCTCGCTTGCTAGTAGTAGTTGCGATTCACCATATATTCCGGTCAAACAATACGAATTAAAGTAGTCCAGGACGAAAGATCAGGACACCAGAGCAATTGAATTTCCTTGTCTTCAACATGGTTTGGGTTTCAGCATTCTTTTCTATACCGCTGCCAAAACGTTGAGAATCGGTTATTGAAATCCGGGGTGGATCAGGAACAAAGTTTACATGTCATCCAAATTATCTACAGTACGTTGGTTACCAGATCCAGTATTGTCTTGAACAGTTTTAAAACGCAAGCTGCAGAAATTTCAATGAAATGTTACAAAATAAGGAGAATTTACGTTAGCTTACATCACAAGCCTGCTTAGAGGCGAACACGCGGTCACATCGACTGCAAACGAAATGGGGTCCATCAATGCTAATAGGCCGAGCACGGGGACAGTTTCTAGAGTTGGGCGGTGCACGATCACAACCTGTGAATGAGGAGGAAGGAAGTTACGCTTTTGTGATGGGGGAGAAATGGTAAAACATAAAAAAAACGTTATTATCATTTGCGGACGGTACAGCAGATGGGATACACCACAGATTGTCAAACAAACCAGCGCTTTATACAAACCTTTGTACGATTGATGACTTTCTCGTTCGTTTCCCACGTGATTCGTTTGGGGTTGAATTCCAGATTGAAAGAGGAGGTAGAAGTGTGAGCAATACTTCAGAACTGTTCGACAGGACCGATTCATTAGGTCTGACTAAGAAGGGCTACTTATGGTAGGAAGGAAGCTATAAACAACAAGATTCTAGGTTGAGCAGATGAAGGCTTCGTAAAAGCGTTCTTTGTCATGTTTGATTGACGGTTGAGAACTGGCACCGAATTTCCTAAGGCGATGGCCCCAGGCCCACATTAAAGTGATGTGCGATACATCTAAGGACAGTTCCTGGAATCTGCCAGTTTCCACCTAATAGAATCACAGGAAGCAGATTTCACTTCAATACGTGGTGTACGAGGGGAGCTTGAAAGCCACTTCTCAATGCTCAACATATCTAACGATTCCTCTAGAGCGCAGGGTCATAGTGTCACTGGGTAATGGATTCAAAGTAAGTAGATGCTCATGAGTAGTGGAAATGACCTTCAATTTTCGGGATATATCTTCTCGAGACAATTTAATTGAACTGAGAAAATTCTCTTGATCACGCTTTTTTAACAAACACGGTCGATGCCCACGGTCTACAGATTCTAGATAAACACATTCAAGGTAGCCATAAGCATAGCTGTCATTATTACTATTGTTGAGCGCCAGTACATCCACCATCTCCAATAGAACCAAATGTTTGCTCTGCGCCACGGTACATGTTTGATATCATTACTATACTATGAATTGAGTGGAATCCGACACCAATTCAGAGCGACTCGTTGGCACATATCTGATCGCATGCATAACTTACATGCAACATAAAACCTTGTGAAGTGGTCCCTTCTTGTGGAAGAAAACCGTCATTTGCGTTTTTTAGGTGGAGTTGTGTGCAGTAAACAGCTACCATATCCCACTACAGCTCATTCAAGGTGTCTCCTTAACCGGTAAGGCCAGAATCCCTGAGTTCGGGCCTGTAGTAAGAGCATGTGTTGAAGCAGTGTAGGCTGGTACACCTAAATGATCACGCCTGAAGAGGCTAAGGTGCGTGTGTTTGAAAAAAGGACACATATGCCTGTAGGGCAAACGAGGAATACAACCAGTCCTCAAGCTGAGTAGAACTTCACCAGAGGTCGTAACACGGATTCCTGGTCGGAAGGTATATGGTCCGAGGTAAGCCTGGCATTTGCTGTTTAAACTTGGGTCATCCGGTTGCACCTTCCACAAGTATCAAAGTGTTGAAGAACGACCGGAACTTTTCGTTTCCGCATGCCTATAGTTGTTAACCTCACATTGACTTCCATGAAAATAATTAACACAGCGCACAAACACGGAAAGTCAGACGGAGAAGCGCCTGTGAACAAACCTGGCGATCCGTCACCAGCAGTTATGGAAGCTGGTCCGTGGGAGCGTAAGCTATGTTTCTCCAATCCGGCTAAACGGGCATACTTTTGTCCGCAGTGCGGACAAACATACACAGTCAACGACGGATCCTAAACAGGAAAACAGTAAACAGAAAAGAAAGCGAAATTAACACAAGCAGGGTGGAATTGGTAATTGGATAAGTAAACAGCTGTTACGTCTTTCCCGACAAGATGTGTGCACACAACTTCAAGAGGGCTGAGGCCAAGCACTTTGAATGTGCTAATGTGGGACTTGGAAATCGAGACCACCGTGTTATACACTTGTTGGAAACTAGTCAAGTGGAAATAACACACGCGGAATTCACTTCAAATCACACAACTGTTTCCATTTTGTTCCTCCAAACTATCAACCCCATTTCGATGCAATCTGAAACAACAAGCGTGAGTTTCGCTGCCACTGTAACTTACTCGAGGTGTGAGGTTAGGTGTTGAAGCTCGCTGAAACAAGCATGTCTGAACGATATCCCGGTAACATTTGCCTGATATCGACGTACTGTCAAGCCCCACCTAGGCTCATCTACAGGAATTTTCACTTGAAATCTTCTTGCAGCGATATGCACATTGAAATAAAAGTTTGGTAGTGAATTTTAAATGACTCAACTCAGAAAGGGATGCGGACAGGTGGTCCATCATTTGAATGCAATGCGCAGTACAACAGTTTATGACAGATCACCATCATAAACCATCGGTTTGACATGCTGATGGCTTTGGAAACGTCGTTTTTTAAAACCCCAGGATTACACCACTTCGAAGGTAGGACTGCACGTAGGTAAAAGTGCCGTCTGCTCTTAACACTGCCTGTTCTTATAGGGGCGGAAAGTAAATCAGAATTCCGTGACAGACAGAAACAACTGAGTCGGGTAAACTAGGTTTCATAACACCCGGGTGAGTAGACATAATTTCACGGCTCTAGACATATGAAGTGTTGAGAGACGAGCTGTTAGTCAAAACTTTCCTTTTTGGCCTTCCCAATGCCTTTACCTTGGAGAGCCAAATGAGATCTACACTCCTTGTTTTCCTTCGGGCTACACGTCAGCTGAATACCACAATAGGGTGGTCGCTGGATGAGTGAATTTTCCTGCTGCTTTTACTGTATTAGTAACGCACCTGCCAGGAAATCTTGGTCAACTGGTTTTACATGTGCTGTGAACCCACAGGATAACAGGACGCTAATAAATTGCAGGCAAGAGATTCAATAGGATGTTGCGAATAGTTCCTGTCCCTCGAATTTTCCCATTTAAGCTTATAGAGAGTCCACTTCCTCAGTAAAAAACAATCATTCAGCTCCTTTGATGCTTAGCTGCCATGCGTCCGGAAGAAAGCACGAGGACTGGGATACTGCCAGGTTGCTCAAACCTAGACAGGAGAAGTTCAGAGGCAGGGGTCGGGTTCGAACCACGGACCTTCCGGCCAGTAAATTCGCGCTCTAACCAATCAGCCATTTCGCCCTAGTTTCCCAATAACACTGGAATATCAGTTTTGATAGGTAAATCTACAACAGCCAGTAATGCTGATGTGAGCGGAAAATAAGTAGGGAAATCCGACCCATCCTTTTTAGTAATGATTTGATTTTCCATGTACCAATTTGGAGGGGGCCAAACTTGCGGAATATACTCTAGAGAAGGCCTGGACTTAAGAGAGGTATGAAGGCGGGCGGGTCGAACTTTCCAGGTACATTCCACAGAAGACCAAGTTTTCTGTTTGCCGATACTGCTGTTTTAATTGTGGGGGATCGGGGACATTTACTTGCTAAATTTTGTTCAACAGCGGCTTGACCTCCGGCACAACTGACTGCAACAAAATACATTAACACGCAGTGTATCCTACCGAACACTACTGAGACATTCCGCAGCGCGATTTTGCTAAACAAAACGGTAGGTGTAGAGTAAGATGAAGATTACGGGTGCCCGTAACCGACCAACAAAATACAAAAACCCTGGGCGAACACACATCAAAATAGCGCCATACAACTTAGCGAAGCTGCAGGTTGAACGGTGTAAAGCAGAACTGAAAATTCAAGGGAGAATCGCGCCAAATGGACACAAAAAACAACGCATGGGTCACAAATCACATCATATCTGAGTTTTTGAGTGCGTCGTCGCGGACAGTCAAGTGAAATTTTGGGACTTGTATGTCCAAGCTGGGAGTGATGCTAGGGTTACTGGTCAAAGTAACCGATGCCTTTGAATCCAACTTTGAGATTATGTTCTTCCGCTCTTTCAAAGATGTTTAGTAGGAACGGTTAATTAATTCGCTAGTACCACAGAACCAAAGTAAGGCGGATTTTTTGGTAACTTGGTTGAATAATACTGTTGAAAGCGGTGCACAATCTGGACAGACACCACATTTGAAGTCTGTTGAAAGTTGCCTTTGGTAGCTTGGAAAACTATTCGAGACGCTGTTTTATTTTATTGTCCGAAGATGAAATGAAAAAAACACTATGAACCATAAACGAACTGGAGTTGTAGAAACGCATACAGTGAATATAACCTGGGGCGTTCAGCTGTAGCACCCCTCCGGTGCCTAGCTGCCATGCCACCCGAAGAAAGCACGAGGGCTGGGATACTGCCAGGTCGCCCAAGCCTAGGCAGGGGAAGTCGAGTGGCGGAGGTCGGATTCGAACCACGAACCTTCCGGTCAGTAAATTCGCGCTCTAACCACTTGGGCCATCTCGCCCTAAAAAGGACTGACGAAATTCAGAAATGCTTGACACTATGGAACGCGTGTCACTAAATAGGATTTAAGCTGAGTAAGTAAATGAAATAAGTTCTTCTATCGAACACCTGAGAAGTGCACTAAGATGGATTTAACCTCGGGAAGCGTGACACGATCGGAGGATGAACTTTCTGAAAACAATAAGACGTCCCAGTTGAAGAAACTTCCCCAAGTGCTGAAAAAATGCAGAGCCCACATCCTTGGCGTTTGGGGATTTTAGCGTAGAAGCCACTGCTTCAGACACGACTTCCCTTCACCACTACTTGGAAGGACGAAATATTCACTACGACTCGTCCTATTAGTGGTTTCAGTGTGTTCTACGACCAGCGGGTTAACTAATACATCACAACTAGAACCCACGACTCACGTTCACAGGGGAAGGAGGAGAGAATACACTCTCTAGCAGATCTAATTCAGGAGATCGCCTTGGGTCATCGAAAGAGTTCATGTCAATTTGAGCCACAGAGTCGTAGGATGATTCTACCAGCAATTGATGTGTTCCATCGTCTGAGGGCAGAAGAGCGGCGATGTCTAGGCCTGCGGTTGTAGGAGAGGTGCTCAGCGTCACAGTGATACGCTTTCGTGTGTTGCCCGAAACCTCTTTGAGTAGTGGAGACAGAGGTGAACTTGGAGCAGTAGGTGGCGAACTGGGTGACGGGGCATCCGGTTGGGAAATGTGCAGCTCAGAGGAATCACAGGGGTTGGGTTTA